TACAGACACATCACTAAAATTAAACAACATTTTAGGCGGGGCAAGTGAAATTACTCCTTGGGGAAATTTTTAGTTTTAAATGAATGGAACTTAATGGAACAAGTCTATCATATTCCAAACCAGATGGCGATTTGAATTTCTTCAAGGCCACCTTTTGGTTACCAGACCAAATCAGACTGGAGGTGCAGTTCCATTTGACATTAACATGTTTCTGATAGATAGATTGGCTACTCTAATTCTGCCTAATCTGGGGTCTTACCTTCTTTGTAAGCTGCTTTATCTTGAGGGGCAGTGACAAGAAATGACAGCAAGGAACGAAAAGGATAAAAAAAAGAACAATAACAATAACAGGCATGCATAAAAAAAAAAAAATGAAATGGTCAGTCAGGGAAATAGCTGAGAAGAGTAGGTGATAATAAGAGATATAATGGAATGGATAATTGGAAGTAATAGAAAGAGGAAGATTTAAGATAGATTACAAATTTAAAGCATTTTTGCAGGCCCAGAAAAGGATTGGACATACCTCTCTTTTTAATTTCCTGTTCTTCTCCTCTGCCTCTTCAGCACGGACAGCCAGCTGTGTGAAAACATGCATCGGTCTGTTATCAATCCTACACCTGCAGCTACAGTATTGTTCTTCTTATTATTCTATATTTTGACTTTTTATGGTCTTCTGGTTTTCATAAAAAAGGACATTTACTCAATTAAAATATATAATTTTGACATCTTCAGTTGGATTAATAACCAATTAATTCAATTAATAATTGTATATTATAATAACCAAAGCATTATATTAAGCAGTGTCCCACATTTTGAATGCACACATTATTTATTTTGAAAAAAAGTATGATTCCTTAAAATCATCACTTGAACCTTTTCTACAGCATAGAAGGAAGACAATGAATAATCTCTCATTCCATTTTCAAATTTTTTACACACATTTTAGCGTTCATCAACTCAAGCATTCAACCTTGTTACCCAAAGTTACTGTAAAAAATAGATTTTTCTTTAAATGATAGGAAATGTAATATCTCTTAGTGCTTGACGTCTTTAAGGCTACAGTGTAATTATACAAATAAGTGTATAAACGGAGAAATAATAATTAACAACGTGTACTTATTACATTATGGTTAGGGTTAGTTGCTTGCAATAATGCATAATTAACTGTTATTGCTATAGTAAATACATGTGAAGTGTAACCCGAAACATAACTTTAGTGTTTCTGGCACTATTTAGTACCCTATTCGTGGAAAGCGCTGCCTACCTCCTCATTGACTTTCCTCTCCTTGCCCATTTCTTTCTCCAGCTGGGTCACCTCTCTCTCCTTGCGCTCCAGGTGACTCTCCAGTTGGTGGATCTCATCCCGGAGGAAACGTGTGTCCCCCCCTCCCACCACGCGCTGGGCCATCTGGACAGGAAGTGAGACGGATCTGAATAAAGCTCAAGACCCAAAACTCTCCATCTGTGTATATCCGTGACACTGGTGAGCTGTGCGGTTCAATGACATCTCTCTTCTTTTCACAATGTGAAGTGTGGAACAATTTATAACAGATAGCAACACACAGAGAATTAAACCAGTAATCCTCTTAAGTACTTGTACACAGACGGTTCACAAACCGCACATAATAAACACACTTGTATGTATGAAATTCCTCCCTTACCTCCAGCTCACCTTCCAGTTTTAGAACTTTAGCTTTCAGCTCATTTTCTGCAATCAGTCAATAATATGCAAGCATAAATATATTACTAAATAAATTGCACCAACATGCTTTTACAATAAATCATAAAATATGATTAGGTTGTTTGAAACCATTAAAACAGTGCTTGCAAAGCTCTAGCGCTTAAAGGTTCTCTCAGCGATGTCGGGTGACGTCACTTCTTGTTGGCGTTGAAAGTATTGTCAAACAAAACGGAGGCTAGCTAGACCCTCCCTCCTCCTCATCCGCGCACTATCCCCCAAACCCCGCCCCCAAGTCCTTCTTGTCGGTGATTGGCTGGAACTGTTTGTCATGTTTCGTGGAGCGGGTTAGCCCAGTTTGTTTTTGTTGCCGTTTGTGGAGCCTGGGCTGTCTAGATCGCGTTTCTTTACAGTGTGTTCAGGGGACAGGCAGCCAGCGGTTAGTGAGGAGATGTTTGCTGTATGTGACAAAAAATGTTTTGGCCTAAAAAACGCGTGACATCGCTTAGAGCACCTTTAATTAATGCACATTCACATTCATTCACTCCATTCAAGCTTTGTTAGATCATTTCAGCCTTAGGTTTGAATTTAAAAAGATAATTTCCATTGATGTCAAATTTGCATGAAGAATTCTGATTGGTCTATCAAACCAGTGCATGATTTATGTAATTTTTATTTGTGTAAAGTGACGTCAAAAAAGGCATTCATTTAATCCATTTTTTATTAGGTTTATTAAAGTTGAACACTATTCTTTTATTTCCTTGCCAGCACTTTTCAGTAGGAAATGCAAATCTAATAAAGACTGTACATACCAATTCTTGCTTGGTCCACACCTGCGCTGTCTACAACTTCATAGGCACATTTAATTTCATCAAGTTTCATCTGAGGGTCAGACAGACATCAAACATAACTAACAGCAACTGCAGATGGTAAGACTTCAATGACCAGATAATTGAATTGAAAGAAATTCAAAGGCTTCCAAATGAAAGAGCAGATGTGTGGTGACGGTGCATTAGTCGTACCCTCAGGAGTGTTCGTGAGATTCTAAAGAGCTGAATCATTTTCTCTGAATCATCTGCTTTCAGGTCCCGTGGTTTGACCTACATGGGAAGGAAAAGCATGATTGTCAGATGAATTTGCAAGAAGAATGTTTTGGTCCCTAGCACATTCCAATAAGCAGATGTTAGTCTAGAAACAAAACCCAGGATAGAGATGTTCAACATTTTTTCTAGTTTTGCTGGAAAGGTAGAATTTTATTTTGAACATGCAACCTTACATACAAACAATACCCAAGCATTGTAACTTTGCATTTGCACATAGTAACACTGAATTTTAAAATAAATAAATAATTTAAAAACACTTTTTTTTTTTACACAAATTACAACTGTCCCTCAGTTTTGGCATAATTTCCAACAACCTACCAACAATTTGACACTAAATATACAATATATATACACTGCTGTTCAAAAGTTTGGGATCGGTAAGATTTTTAATGTTTTTAAAATAAGCCTCTTCTGCTCACTAAGGCTGCATTTATTTAATAAAAAACAAAAACAAAAAAAAACAGTAATATAATATTGTGAAATATTATTACAATTTAAAATAACTGTTTTCTGTTTGAATATATTTTAAAATGTAATTTATCCCTGTGATGCAAAGCTGAATTTTTAGCATCATTACTCCAGTCTTCAGTGTCACATGATCCTTCAGAAATCAATCTAATATGCTGATTTAATGCTTAAAAGAAACGTTTATTATTATTATCAATGTTGAAAACAGTTGTGTACAATTTCTTCAGGATTCTTTGATGAAAAGAAAGTTCAAAAGAACAGCATTAATCTGATTCTGAAATAGAAAGCTTTGTAACATTATACAGTACCGTTCAAAAGTTTGGGGTCAGGGGATGCATTAAATTGATCAAAAGCAACAGTAAAGATATTTATAATGTTACAAAAGATTATATTTAAAATAAATGCTGTTCTTTTGAACTTTCTATTCATCAAAGAATCCTGAATTTTATTTTACACAATTGTTTTCAACATTGATAATTATAATAATAATAATTATAAATGTTTATTGAGCAGCAAATCAGCTGAAAATTCAAAAGAGCAGCAAATTCAGCAAAAAAAATAATGATCCTGAAAATTCAGCTTTGCATCACAGGAATAAATTACATTTTAAAATTATTGTACCATAATATTTCAGTATTACTGTTTGTTTTGTATTTTTAATCAAATAAATGCAGCCTTGGTAATAAGTATAAGAGAGATATAATAATAATAATATAAAGTGGATATATGATTTGGGATACATTAAGTGTTTGCTATAAAGTCCATAACCATTTTTTTCACATTATATATATATATACACATACAGAATGGTATACATACATATATATATATATATTATAAATTAGAATATATGAAATACTATTACAATTATTAAAATATTTTTTTCCATCTTTGTAATTTCCACTACAGAATGTTTTTAAACACAAAAGACAAAATTCAATAATATGGTTATCATTTCCTGATCATTGCAACTTATCAAAACACCAAAACATACATACCATTAAAATCAAATGACAGATTTTCTCATCATCATCTCCCAGATCCTCTGGGTCTACTCCCATGAGCAGCTTCCAGTCTGCGGCGGCAGGCATCTTTCAGCTCCGGTGCAATGTCCAACAGTTGAACCTGGTAAATGTCAGTGTGATATCAGATTTTCTAACGTTACAGACAGAGAAATGTCATGCTAATGTACAATATTCTAATCTTATCCATCACCAAAGGCTTAATAATAGTATATTACTAAATAAAGGATCAAAAGACAAGCTAGATATTAGCAAGAAATACAGACCTCAGAAAACACAAGATTGGCACTGTGCAATTGGTCACATTTTGTTTTGTTTGTTAGCTACATTATAAAAATGCGTTTCTTAATGGCACGTATGCACATTTTGTATACATTCATAAAAAAGACTATAAATAACGCATTCAGACCTTATTGATAAAACAGCCTAGCCATCTTGTGTTCCCCTTCCTCTACTGCTTCTGCTGCTTCTAGGCAACCAGGAAAACAGTCGTAAAGCGGAACGTCGTAAACTCGTCTCCGTGGGTTCTTGATTTTACGCCATACGATTTGTGACGCTCATAAAATATTCTAGCTACCTTTATTTTTATGGATATAATATGGAAAATATTTATTTGTTGCTATCTTTTCAGTGAGCTGATATTGCCAAAACATAAAGTCCTATAACTAGCGCTTTGTAATTCATTACTTTTATTCTGCCAAGAATTTTGACCCGGAAGCGGTTTTGTCACTGTTAATTCAATGCTTTTAGATCGAACTTGCTGCTTCAGCCAAAATAAACACACACACATTCTGTTTTCATTTAGTTTTTTTACCAGACATGACAAGGTGAGTTGTCAATCTATTTAAATCCTGACGATCACTGATGACAGATTGAGACTGATTGTTTAAACGATTAGAGTCATTGAATGCTAATGGAACAGCTTAAGTCAGACTTGATCTTTGATCAGACCAGTGTCTTCTAAATTTAAACCAATTTATTTTAATCATCAGTACATTGATGTTATTTATTAGGAACGGATGTTGCTTTGATGTTTTCATAATGTAATGTATGCATTATCCGATTCATCTTAATGAAAACAAATGCTAACTGATAGCTAGGCTAGATGGGCTGGTCATGATTTATGGGGGTGCGCCTTCTCTGCTCCGTTCAGTCCGCACGAATTATTCTATTATTACGATCATTCTTCTGATCTATCTGTGTATTTATGTTTGCAACATGGTTGCAACTCGCAATGCAGCAGTTTGATTTAAACAGGGATTTAAAGGTCATGGGAAATTTAAGGGGATTTTAAAATGGTTTTCCATGCATGGAAAGGTCATCAAAATAAATAAAAATGTAATAAGATTGGGAATTTTGATAGTGATTATATATTTATCTATCTTTGCTCTGCTCTAAAATATTAGTACAATTATTTTAAAATAAATGTAATATTAAAGCCCCAGTCTGTAACTTCTTTGGGTTAAAAATTATCCACAATAAATTTTTGAGCAAGTACATAACCAGCCAGTGTTCAAAACTATCTGCTTGCCTTCAAAACGCTCGATTCAAAACGGTAAACTTGTAATAATGTTTTTAATTCCAGTGGTACTAGTGGATTTCCACGGGAAATTCGAGCATGTCTTTGCGTCATTACGTCACATCTGTACACATAAAGAAGAAGGAGTCTCGGCTAGTAGACTATATTGCGAGTGAGGATGTTGGAGGTGGAGATTTATAGCCTTTTCTCACAGCACTTGATATAATTAAACTTATTAATTTGATGGCGGATCCAGAAAGGTTCAAACGACAATCACCAGTGAGTGACAACTAGAGATTCACCCGCTGTAAAATGCAAAAGACTTTGGACTGAGAGTTTGGAAAAAGAGATTGCAACTCCCATGCGAAAACTTTAAATGTAGTCACGCAATGCTGATGTTGTTAACATTAACAATTTGAGAACAAAGTATAATTTGCCCGGTTTGACGTGATATGATAATCGATCGTTAGATTTAATCAGCGCGATTTACTGCTATGCTTTTTTTGCAATGCTGTTAGTTGGTCAGAAGAACAAAAGTGATACTTGTTCAGATGACATTTTCGGGTGAAAATTCTTATGTTGGTCATACTTCCAAAAAGTAGAATCGGTGATTCTGAATGGCAGTATCCACACCGGCACGGCGACTGACAGCCGCACATTTTCCTCAAAACATTGGATTCATCCGCGCTGTGCCGTGCCGAGGTACAACTCACGTAAAGTTGATAATGCCGCGAATTACTGCAATTGCAGATTTCGAACAGAGATGGCGACAGAGGAAAAACTGCGGACTGCAGCTTTAATTTGTTTAAGTTTTAGTAGTTTTTTTTTATTTGAATGTTTTTATTTAGCTTTTTTTATCTCATTTGTAGTAATTGTAATACTTCTTAAACTTATTTAATTGAGTTGCAGAGTTTGTTTAAATTAAGTTTGATCCATTATTTATATATTTCAGATTTATTTTAATGAACAGAATCAATTTTAATGGTTGTAGTTAACAACAATAACAACACTGTTTCGTAGAGCTTGCGAAAACGGTTTGTCAGTATTATCATCATTAAATATTAAATAAAATAATAAATAATAGTAACATACTTCCTCTGTCTTACAATATAAGATATCGACCAAACCGTAAATGGCTAGCCTGACTTCGTCATACTCATATTCTAGTCAAATTTTGAGTCTGATACTGCTCCATAGGGCTTTGATTATGAGGCGTGTCTTAACCGAACCAGAACAAAAAAAAAACTCTGACCTAAAACCAATCAGAGCAACGCAGTAAGTGACTTATGTTGAGCTACGCATAGTTGTCAACAGAACTCAACTGCACGCACGCTGGAGGAAGTAGTAAAATAATGAGTGTTGCTTCTTTTACTTGGTCCTCCATGAGTGCGACCAAAGGAGAAACCACACCGACCGCAGGGCTTTCATTGCGTCCCGTCTTCTTAGCGACCATCGGAGCCAGCTGATAAATTAAACTTTTGTCGAATCCCGTAGGAAGGACGGCAAACACATCTTTCCGATCGACAAATGCCTTGATTGCAGTTCTCTGTTCGTCTTTTAAAATTAATGCGCTGTCGATTTCTTTTACAACAGACGCGATAGCGGAATCTATACATCTCAATTCTCCAGCTGGAGTCATCTCTGAGGGAAACCAGTTCAACCCAAGCGCTCTTTGATAACGTGATGATTACGTAACTGCAGATCATCTGTCCATCATCGTATAAAGCCCGCCCTGGCACTTTGATTGGCCCGTCGATTTCTGAACCGATCATAATTACTTCTCAATGGATCGAGTCCAGACCGAACTTCCCGACCAAAAAATGTTGTGGGCGGGGTTCGGGCGGGCATCCAGGCTAGTAAATGGCAGTGACTAAAAATTGGTCAAAATGTTGACACCTTCTTTGCGATTAAAAATAAATCAGATCGTAAATGGTGCTGTAGAGCACAAAAATAGAAATTGTCATTGTCAACAGTCATTAAAATAATTTTTAACTTCAACATGGATACCTGAAGCCAATGAAGAATGCAGGGTGTGGCTTAGTTTACTAAAAAGGCTATAATTTCTAGATCAAATAAGTAATGAAATTTGGAAAATGTATGTAGTACGTTACTCTAGGGAGGCTACATAAGTCTGACTCGTCTCAACCTATTGGTGGCGCTATACAATCATTAACATTGAAAGGTCCTATGTGAATATATGAAGCCAGTTTTAAAATGCCTGGCATCAGCAATCAGATCTTTGAAATGAATCAAACCAGTTCACACAAAGGTCTGAATGATTTATTGGCAACACTGCCTGAATTCAAATTATTTTGTAATCATGTCAGGAGGCCCAATTGTTACTTGTCTGCCTTTGCAGTGCTCAATGAGGTCTCACGTCAGCGATGGCTGTAGTCTCGTGGAAGGAGATCTGTCTTCTGACTGGACTGGTGGTGGGCTGCTACTGGAACAGCCTGTTCTGTGGTTTTGTGTTCGATGATGTCTCTGCTATCTTGGATAACAAAGACCTTCGTCCCACCACACCGCTGAAGAACCTCTTCCTCAATGACTTCTGGGGCACACCTATGTCAGAGGTAGTACATCTTTCTTTTGAATAGTGAAGAACTTCAGCTTGCTTTCTCAATGAGATATGTTTTTGTTTTGGAGGCTTGTCGTATCCAACTTTGTCTTTTTCTCCAGGAGAGGAGCCATAAGTCTTATCGGCCACTTACTGTTCTCACCTTCCGCCTCAATTACCTGTTCAGCGAGTTGAGCTCCTCGTCGTACCACCTCCTCAATGTGGTTCTTCATGCCGTGGTGTGTGTCCTCTTTCTCCACTTCTGCCGTCTGCTCCTGGACCGAAGCACCAGCCTCACAGCGGCCCTGCTGTTTGCCGTCCATCCCATTCACACAGAGGCTGTAAGTAACTGCTATTATGTCATTTTAAAGTGCCGCTATTATGCTTTTTCAGATATTACCTTTCATGTAGTATGTAACATAGCTGTTTGTTCAGTTCAGTTCAGTTCAGTTCAAGTTTATTTATATAGCAAGTTTAAGAACAACCATGATTGACCAAAGTGCTTAACAAAATTCAAGATAAAAAATTAAATAAAATAAAAATACACAAACAATATACAATAAAAATAAGCAACAATAGGTCAAGATGTCAAAGCTCAACTTGAATTGAAAGCCAAGGCATAATAATGGGTCTTAAGCAAGGACTTGAATGTTACAATGGTCCGAGCTTTCCTTACATGAATAGGTAAACTATTCCAGAGGTATGGAGCAGCCACTGCAAAGGCTCTGTCACCTTTATTCTTCAACCTAGATCTGGGCACATCGAGGAGCAACTGATCAATGTAACAGATCAATGTTTATGAATGTAAAAGGTCTGCAAAGGTTTAAAGATCAAAGTGCATTATAAATGGACTGGAGTTATTGTCTCCCAAAAGAAAAAAGCATTTCTGAACTGCCTGAAACGTGTCATCAGTAATTCCAATCTTACTTCCTGCTTGAACCTATGTAGGTTTGTAACAAATGTGCAAATTCCAGTCTATGGTCTTCATTGGCTGCCCATGAACTACTACTTTGACTCGCTCTCAAATTCTGTAGCTGAGGCCTGGAAAAGTCTGGTTCGTGTTGTTGGTATGTCGAGAAGATGCTGCGCCTTGCATTTCCAAAGGATGAGGACTCCGGTACGAATTGATATCAGGGTTTCCGCGGGGTCTTAAAAAGTCTAAAAAAGTCTAAAATTTCAAAATCACAATTTAAGGCCTTAAAAAGTCTTAAATTTGCTGAAGTATTGTGTTCTAGGTCTTAAATCGTTTTAAACAGGTCTTAATTTTCCTTACGTCCATGTAAATCTCATTGAAATGCTCCCGCAGCGCTTTGGGATGTTTTTTTTTAGTCCGTGGTGTTGTAGTTCCTCATTTCGCTAGTCCAAATATAATTCGCTGTATTACGACTACAAAATAGACCAACATGCAACAGCCAATCAGCTTTGAGCTTTCGTGTTATTGGCGCGCATGTCAGATACCACAGACAGACGTAAAACGGATTTTATTCAGCTATGGGGAAGTGCAAGTTTAGCGAGACTTGGCTTGAAAAATCTGAATTTCGTGCTTGGTTAAAGCCAGTTGCAAACAACGTATTTGAAGCCTACTGCTTCTCATGCAAGAAAGCTATTAAATTGGGAACGTTGGGTGTACGGGCACTGGAGTCACATGCAAAAAGTGATAAACATCTAGCGCTAACTGCTGTGAAGGGTCTCCAGCAAACGACAGTCTTGTTCTTCCAAGTATCTGGCGGCTCCAGCACTTCTTCTACACTGCCTAGGCGAGGCCCACACAGTAGCTATGCAACTCCCGCAATCGACCTCCATGTCGCTTTGGTCATGAGGAAATCGGGGAATAGTTTCAAACGATGTTTCCGGACTCTGACATTGCTAAATCCTTCAGGTGCGGGAAAGATAAAATGACCTATATTACGCGCTTTGGAATAGCCTTTAATTAACCATTAAAATAGCATAATAACAGATTTATCAACATGTTTTATGTACAGTATGGTATGGTATGTTATGTAGTTGGAAGGGCATTTGCAATTTCGTTGTATTTTAAATGCAATGACAATAAAGTTTTCTATTCTATTGAATAGTATCTGACATGTGAATGAACTCCAGTTGTGGAATTAGTTATTGCTACTTTCATGTAAAGTTTCTTTATTAATCCTGATGCTTCTGGTTGACCTTGTTATAATGTTGAAGTTTCCCCATTGGTCATTTTGCCTTTGTTGCTTGCGGAAATGAACTTTGGCACAAAGTTGAGGAACAAACACATGGATGAAGCGACTTTGCAGATGCCGCCTCATGATGGCAGTAATAGATAGAGCTTCATGTCCCAGTGTGCATTGCATGTAAACAGTTGTACATTACCATGGAAACACTGTTTGAAATTGAGCCCTTTTCATTTCAGTCAATATTTGCTTCCTATTTCGTATGCTGTCCTTTCTTGTTAAGCGAGATATCACTTGTTTGAAGTTCATAAGGTCAAAATTCTTGGAGAGGGGGAATAAATTAACTGTATAAAGCTGAGTACAGTGGTATGCTATCTGATTAGAGTGCTTTACTATAGGACTGGGGGTTGTTTATCAGTTAAAAATCTGGGATGCTAGTGAAATGGTTGGGGGATCAGTCCCTGTGCGGGTGACATAAGAACTGAAGTGTTAATCTGATCTTAGTCTTTCTCTAAAACTGTTATACTATCTACCATTGTGCTTATCTGTAGACGGTCTATAGTACATTGCTTTGTTTAAAAAGTTGAAAAATGACACGAGGAGTCTTTCATGAACATTTCTGAGTGATGATCTGAGCAAACAAATCTTTTGTTTCAGTTATGAGTCGATTTATTTTGATTAGCTATTCACAGAAATGCACAAACTCTAATGCCATTTTTGCTACTGAGGTATAAATCAGACACACTATAAAACGGCTTATCATAATCTAATTTAAATGTGGAAATAAAGTTTAGGAGGAAAATTTGATAACGTTCAGTGAATGAGTAATAATTCAAGGTCATTAATTAAATAAGAACATTTTTGACATTGAGCATGTGAACTCATCCAAAGTTCAGATTCTGATTCCATTGAAGCAGCCTGATGTGTAAAACGATTCGTATGCACACAAATTGCATTGAAATGTGCCTACACAATTTGTCCATGCACGTCATTGGGATTTATAAACATAAACTTGCCTTAAATATGTGTGCACCATCCACACACTCTAGACCGTGCTTACGCACTCTTTTACTGGAGTGAGCGAAGAAGTAATTAAAGGAGTAGTTCACTTTTGAAAAAACTTTTGCTGATAATTTACTCACCCCCATGTCATCCAAGATGCCTATGTCTTTCTTTCCTCAGTCGAAAAGAAATTACGGTTTTTGATGAAAACATTCCAGGATTTTTCTCCATATAATGGACTTAAATGGGAACCATACGGTCCAAGGTCCAAAATACAGTTAATAACAGTTTCAGATGCAGCTTAAAATGTCTTTAAACGACACCAGACGATGAATAAGGGTCTTATTATGCGAAACGATCGCTCATTTAAAAAATAAATAACAACGTTTAAGTTTTATAAGCTCACATGCTCGCCTCGCTCTGTTCTGTGTAACTCTCCTGTTCGAACTCGTTCATCAAAATGAACAAATCTTTTTCCGAGTCAATTCGTTCATTTCGGTCGTTAAATGAATCAAATGACTCGAAAAAAGATTTGTTCATTTTGATGAACGAGTTCGAACAGGAGAGTTACACAGAACAGAGAAAGGCGAGCATGTGAGCGTATAAAACTTAAACGTTGTTATTTATTTTTTAAATGAGCGATCGTTTCGCATGATAAGACCCTTATTCATCGTCTGGTGTCGTTTAAAGACATTTTAAGCTGCATCTGAAACTGTTATTAACTGTATTTTGGACCTTGGACCGTATGGTTCCCATTTAAGTCCATTATATGGAGAAAAATCCTGGAATGTTTTCATCAAAAACCGTAATTTCTTTTCGACTGAGGAAAGAAAGACATGGCATCTTGGATGACATGGGGGTGAGTAAATTATCAGCAAAAGTTTTTTCAAAAGTGAACTACTCCTTTAAGTTAACAGAATGATTTTAAACACTCTTATCATTTTGATATACACATTTAGATGAAATATTCCACTCTCATTAATGGAGTTAAGCATTCAAATTACATAAAGCCATTATCCAGAAGTTACATAAAAATTGTATGAATTTAGATAGAAATATTTGTAGTTGATGTGCTGCTTTTGAACACTTTTTCTTTGGCATGTTATGTTTTAATGTCAGCGAGGAGTGCTAGGCACATGACGATTCTTCTTTAAACTAAAGCACAAAACTCATGTTCTGAGAAAATATTTCTTACGAGAACAGTGATCAATGATGTGCACTTGACTCTGATATTATGGCAGACTGCTGGATTAGTTTAGTGGTAGAACGGTCCATTGGTCGGTTTCAATAGGCCCGATGACAATGCTGTACAACCACTGCTGTACGGAGGTGTGCTGTTGATGTCGTGTGCAGGCAGACAGTTGCCTAATAATTGATAACTCCTGTGATCTTCCCAACATTGTGAAAAATACCATTGTATTTGATTTTGAAGGCTAGAAGTTGAAGGAAACTGTAAGATTTGTTTTGTCAGTGAGTCAGACCATTGTAATTACACCGCAAAAAAAAGTAAGCCTATATCTGTTTCCATTAAAAAATACTAAAAATATCCTAAAATATGTCAACCTTATAGGCAAAATGTAATAAATTTGATCCGTTTAAAACAATTAAAAATAGGCTACTATTTTTTTGCCAGTGGAAAAGATTGAGAACAACTCTTCTCTGAAAACTTACTCTATCAAAATATCCGTAAAAGCCATATAAAATACTTTTCAGAGTATTTATTCTTAAACAAGACAAGGACAATTAATGATTTTTAATCTGATGGCACAAATGGAATTTAGAGTCCATATCTTAGTTTTCTTAATGTTTTTTAGCCTACCGTTAAACGTGGTATCATGAAGATGGGAATTATTCTGCCATACTGCTGTACATATGGTTTTATAAATCTGAAAAAAGTAAACGGGAAGTTTTATACATGAAGTCTCAGACCCTTTTTGAATAGAAGTTGTAGACATCAGGTTTTACACAAACTTGTGGAGGTCATGGAGTTTGAGTACTGCTGTCATTTAAAACAAAAGGGGAACAAACTAAATACTAAGACTATCTGAAATTCAGGTTATTTTTCATTCAAATTGTTATGCGTACACTGGAGCTGCACGAACACAGGGATCACGATTCTAAACCAACAACTAAACAAAACAACGAGATTCTGACAAAATGTTAATTGCTGCAGCCTGTTTCAAATGTTTAATTAATCTGAATTATTTTAAAAACTTGGGTCCCATTCAGTCAGTTCACTTGGTACAACAGATGACTATGGGATATCTCGCTCTTGCGCCATTTGTTGAAGACACCTTTATTCATCCCTAAAAGGCCAATGAAGAACGCCAACGTGGGCTGGGTTACCTGCCCTCAGCATATAAATGCAGTCGCATGTGTCATTCCCTTTGTTCTACAGCTCTTCACTGCGCTGCTAGAACACCATCACATCGCATTCAAAAGAAAACCCACGGTTGTGACTCTTGTTGAAGAAAAAAGCATAAAAGATACATGTTTAGCTTGAGTTTAGCACAGCTAACAAATGGCTAATAAACTGTTTCATGTGAAATATCTGAACATAAGTTCTCGCCCCTGTCCTATGGCATGTGGGTGTTTATGGTTTAGCCTACTCTGGAGCACTGTGTCCAGTGTGTTTGAATAGTCCACGCTTGGCTGGATCTCTCCAACACCGTTGCATGTGTGTGCTGCCGGCAGCTTTATCATTTCACACTTGAGAGGCGTGTAACGCATCCTCAGTGGGTCAGTGGCCAAACTGGGACGCACTTGTCTTCGGGTGCTGATCCAGATGCGGTGATCTTCTTTATTTGGTGGTCGTCTATTTAGTTTTTTTTTCTTGGCCCCTGAGTCATTTATCTGTATTGAAGAGTGGCAACAAAGTTTTGTAGGTAGACTGGCCTTTATCCTCCTACGATCCAAAGACGGATATCAGATACAGACTTGACTCCTCTGTAGAAACAGTGGTGAGAACCCGCCTGCCGATCTACTCAGATTTGGTAGAAATGACCCTGCAAGACAGCGTGTTCAGTTTTAAGTCAATAAAATAAAATGTGTGATCTGCAAGATTATGGACGGGAGTGCCCCGCTGGGGTTGAATGCCCTGTCACATGTATAGCTCTGGACTGTGCTGTATGCATTCCTGGGTCTGTCATTAATTTGACATTGCTGTAAAGGACACCGTGGTGTCTTTCTCTATGGAGGGACCTGCTGTCCCAGGCAGGAGGCAGATTCTGCACCCTCGGCAGGAACTGTGGTCTTTAGGGGCATACCTGTTGACAGAGGGAGAATCTGATTATAGCTACAATACAGAGTGCTTGGATTTTGAAGTGCGTTGCACGTATTTGAAGCTTGGTGCGAGGGAAGATCTTTATCGCCGTATCAGTGCCCGATTGAGGGTATACTGATTTTTTTATCTGAAGGAAGGTCACTCCTGTTCCACGCTGGAAGTTTTTTGGATGGCCGATTCGACTTGTCATGAGGGGATTAAGGGTGCTGCGGCAAAGTGTACACCTGCTTGCCTTTCGGTTCCTTAAAGGCCCGGGTATACTTCATTTTCCGCGATCCGCTCTGTCTCTAGCACAGTCGAGAGAGCGCAAGCCTTTTAAAGTATACTCCTTTGGCCGTGTGCGTGGACAGACGCGCTTGGCGCATGCAGACTATCTAGTGGATTTGGGTTTCAAGTCACTCGCACATGCGCTGCTGTCCGCGCAATCACAAAAATTGGGCTGCACGCGGACTGTGTGCGCAGACACCGGCGGACCCTCATGATGATGATAATTACTTCACACAGACAGTGTGTGGACCGTCGTGGAACTTCCGCATTGCGCACTGTATCACGCACAGTTGAGCGTGCAAACCTTTCCAGGTATACTTCTTTGGCCGTTAGTGCAGAAAGACACGTTTGGCGAGCGCACACTTGCTAGTGGACTTTGTTTCCAAGCGATCAAGTCACTCGCACCTGCGCTGTTGTACGTGCACCATATGCACGGACACAAACATTGGGCTGCATGCGGACAGTGTGCGCAGATGTCCACGAACCTTTCTGCTGACCAAAATTATCTCATGCAGAGAACACGGACGACCGAAGTATACTTTTTACAAAACTAATGGAGCCTTCAAGGTAGGTCTGGAGGAGTCTGTTGAGTCTGGATGCGGAGGGTACTCCTAAAGTCATGTCGGGAGTGTACTCCCATTTGAGCTCCCTGCCCTGTAAAATCTCTGACTCAGAGGAAGACAGGTGACTTGATCTGTGCCCTGTGCGAGCTGTACGCAGGTACATTGAGTAGATGCTGGCTGTGCGCTCATCTGACCAGCTTTTTGTCATCTTCTCCAACTCAGCCATTGGGAACCCGCTATCTAAGCGATGTCTTTCGCATTGATTGTAGAAAGCATGGATATGTCTATAGCATATAAGGAGTTGGTTTTGCCTGCAGGGGTGCGTGCACACTCTAGGAGGGGCAGGGAAACATCATGGGCATGGTGTAAGATTTTTGTGCGGCTGCCAGTTGGGCATTACCATGTTTGTCCGGTTTACCGACTACATGTCACTGCAGCGACTATAGCTCAGTCTGTGTTCACTGCAGGCATTTTTTATTTTTATTTTTTCCCCAAGAGGCCGTCGCTCCCTTGAAAAAGGAAAAGGGGTATGTGGCGATGCTGGTCCCTTACATTTAGATCAGCGACTTTGCGGGGTGTGTCATGTGTGTCAGTATGTCCCATAGTCATGTGCTGTACCGAGTGAACCAACTGAATGGGAACAATGAGTTAAGCATATAACTACTGTTCCCAGAAAGAGGGAAACGGGGTACAACTCCTCTGAGCCACGTGCAGAGCTTGGTCAAGAGCTGGACTGAACAAAGGGAATGACGCATGGGACTGCATTTATATGCTGAGGGCAGGTAACCCCGCCCACGTCGTCATGTGTCATCAGCCTTTCAAGTGTGAATAAGGGTGTCTTCAGCAAATGGCGCAAGAGCATGATATATCCCATAGTCATGTGTTGTACCTCGTTTCACTATTTCTGGAAACAGTAGTTATATGCATAACTAATGATTCAATGAATACTTTCATTAGCGAATTGATTTTCATTTAGGAATGAGATTGCGTGGGTGTTTAAATCAAGATCGCGATCGTTTAACGATTAATCATGCAGCTCTATTGTACACTATTATTTGCAATAAAAAATTGCATTAAAGTTAAGAGCTTTTGCACTTTTGGTCTCAGTTTTTTTTTAACCCCACTGATTGTAACATTATATAACAATTAATTATAACATGATTATCTTATATAACTGCTTGCATTATTTTTAGCAAAGGTTCTCACAGGATGAATGAAAGGGAAAAATTATTACTGCTTTACAGTTATGATTGATTGCTTAAAACTGGTTCCTCTTGCACCTGGCACATGACTCTTCATGGCATAAACATCCCCGTCCAATCTCATACTTTTCATAATAAGAAGCACTACTGTAAAAACCTGCTTAAGTCATAAGACATTTAATTTTACAGTCTTGAGTTTGGCACATTTTGATCAAATGAAACTCCCCATGATGAGTGTTGAGAGATTCGCACATCGAGCTGTTGAAATGTTTCACCGCGTTCCTTCGGTATGTGCAGGTAACAGGTGTCGTGGGCAGGGCTGAGTTGCTGTCCTCCATTTTCCTGCTGGCTGCTTTCCTTGCGTACACCAAATCGAAAGGAGCCGATCACTCCATCGGTAAGCGTTGCCATCGCATAACCTCATAATCCATGCATACATTCACGCTTCAACAAGTTCATTTTCTAGGACATGACGCGCAAGCTGTGACTCGCCTCCCATTCAAAAGCTCACCGAGCTCCCCACCCAGAATCCTTGAGTACACAGCTCCAGTTTCACAGATCGATCAAATTGGCATGTTGTTTCTGACTTGATGCACTTCACAACAATTATTATATTATACTGTCAACCTCCCACTGTTGTTCTTGCTATTTTTTTTAACAAGAATGTTAATCCCGTCACAATATTTTAGTTTTTACCTTGTCCAAGGTGTGATGACAAGCGATTATTTAATTTCATTTTCATTTATTTTGTTCATCTTAAATAAGCCGTCGCCTTTATTTTAAAAGAAATTGCATGATTGAATAGTGCATGCAAGTGTTGTATTGTATGCTAAGCCAATGTTCTTTACATATTATAGGTCATAATATGACCTATAATCCGCATCATTAATGTCTCAGTTGGCACAGTACTAGGCCACCACTGTTGCTGCTTCTGAACTATATATTTATTTTCATATTGACATTTATATTAAGATTGTATTTGTGTTGTTTTATAAATATGTATTTATGACTGTCAATCAATAATAATAATCAAATTAATTATATGATATGCCAATCATTAAATTGAATGAATTGCAAATAATTGCAAATATATCAATATTAAGCTACCATATTATTACAGACAAAAACATTGAATAGATAAAAGTAATTTAGAATTGAATATATTGTTCAGTTTGTCTTATTTCTTATTTTTGTTCATGTCTTTGAATGCTTTGACGAGTGCCGCATTTTTAAGACACCATATGAATTTAAAAACCATCTCTAGATCCCCATGGTCTATTCTATCCTGTTGCACTCCATTCATCTGTTTTCGAACACAAGAACACGGTCATGTGAAGGGCTTTTGATGTTGGGAGTGGTTTGGCAAGTCACATTGTGATAATTAATCATGCTAAATGAACAAGTTAAATTGACATCTCTATTTTCTATTTAAGTGTTTTTCTCTGATTCTCTTGCAAAGACTTGTGGGGCGAGATCTCCCAATTTCCCAATGAAGAACAACACCTGGCTCTTTTCCATTGCTGATCTTTCTTCCAATTTCTTTCATCTGAATGATGTTTGAAAGATGCATTAAGTTACTCAAAAGCACATCCGACATGTTAAAAATGAAGTACGCGCATATGAGATGAAGACTTGAGTCATATCACTTTCCTGGATCATCTCTGTGTCTTCAACTTTCTCTTTCAGTGTGGACTCCCATCATTTCAACCGTATTCCTGGTTGCCGTTGCCACGCTATGCAAGGAGCAGGGAATAACTGTTATTGGGATATGCTGTATTTACGAGGTCTTTGTTGCCCAAGGGGTAAGATTGACATTTATTTATCATCTCGTAAATAAAGGACGTGTGACATGCATGGTTAAAGCCAATATGATCTGCTATGGGGTCTTAGGATCAAAAGCTTATTTGTTAGAAAGTTTCAAAAAACTATTTTGCTTTTAAGGGAAGTCATAAAACATCCTTCTCTTTTTGATATTATATTAAAAGCCCTTTTTTATTGGCAGAAAGACAGAGGGAGAGTGAAACCGCTACCCAGATGGAAAGACTTAACGCGTCCTCATGGGGCGCAGCCTCACACGATGACTACAGAAATATCTGTACACTTTTGTCTGTTGGTGTCACTATCTTGACAGTTTAATACCGAAAAAACCTTGAAACAAATCTATCGATTGCATGTCGTTGCGGTGGAAGAAATTCAAAAATTAAACGTAAAGCAAATAAAACGGTTTGCTGTATCAGTGGGAGCAATCTCCTGTGCCGTTTTGTAAAAGTGTAAAACATATTGGGTCTAAGGCTCTGAATCCATCTCTCGCAGTGGAAATCGCTCAACAACTTGCCCTATATACTTCATTGGCATTTTGACAGTCACTAGTTAATTTGGTTTGAATATAAAATACGTTTAAAACACCAGAGGGCATGTCTGCATTGAGTTTTTCAAAGAAGAGTGTGAAAATCAACACTGAGGCATCAGCCAAGTGATAACCAACAGCTTATACAGGTTTCTTATCTGATACGACATTCAGTACCTTCTGCCCGGAAAAAGCTATTCAAGACATAACTATTTTGTAAGTGACAGTTGAGTAAATAACTTCGGGGCAACATCTCTCATTTCTAATAGCAGTGAAACCAAACAGCAAAGTCTCATAGTTTTGTTAACCACAAGTCTTACCAGATGTGAAAACACCCTGTTGCCTATTCCGTTTAAAACAAGCTACAGGATTTCAAAAATCAAAATGTGTTGACGCACTGAAGCGAGTTAGATTCTGTGCATGTCACAGGCATTTAGGATGCAGTGTCCCTTCAACGAGTCTTTTCAAATGTTCCATTTTAATTGTATATCTATTGTTACCAGCTAGCAGCCGGTTAGCATCTGCATTTGAATATTAAGTGAAAGCCACTCAGCGATATTAGTTCATTTTGTCCATTAGTGTTCGGATGTTCGCCGGGGTCTTTGCTCTTTTGACAACCTTCCATTCGCTTTGCATTATGCAATTACATTTTTACATAATGGACTGTGGCATAACTGTCTTATGTGAGCTAGCAACTGAATGAATGTAAGCAGCTGTTTCTGACAGGAACTTGAGGTCTGTGGCTCTTTGCCTTGGACAAATCTTTGCTCCGTTCACCCCGTACGCAGCCCTCAGCTATGCCTTTAATTCAACCCATATGCACGAGTAGCCCATTGACTTTGATGTTTCGCTGAAATACATGTAGCTTAAGTAATTACTCTAATCGGCCTAAGTCGTTAGAGGTGTAGCGTTTAAACCATAATGTATTAAATGTGATGTTGAGCTAATGTATCCGGAGCAGAGCCAATGTGGCGTGTGAAAGTTTCGTTGCAGCGACCTCAAACGTAGCATTTATCGCTGTGGAATAGCTTCTCTTTTTGGGGGGGGGGGGGGGGGGGGTCGGGACTGTGGTCTAGTGGTTAACCTGCTGGCAGACAGATTAAGCTGTTGTGGTCAAATGGGAGGTGTGGATTTGAATACAGCTGTATTGTGTCTCTTCTTGTCATCGTTTCCTGTCTTCTCTACAATTTTGTCAACAAAAATGGAAAAAGCCCTAAGCATTATAAAAGAATTATAGAAAGTTATATAATTATTACTAGTTAAATAATTGTAAATATAAAATTATGTAATTAAATACTTGTATGTTTAATGTATGTTCATTATTTTAGATTTAATTTATTACAAACTGTATTTAATTTATTCTTATTTAATTATTACTAAATAATATTTTTAACTTTTTACTTAATACTTTAAACAATTTTATATACATGACTATTCAAAAGTTTGGGTCAGTAAGATTTTTTTTTTAATAGAAATTAATACTTTTACTAAAAAATTATCAAAATTGACTGTAAACATTTATAATGTAACTAAAGATTTCTGTTTCAGATAAATGATGTTCTTTTAAACTTTCTATTCATCAAAGAATCCTAAAAAAAAAAATTCACAGAAATATTTGGCAGCAAAACTGTTGCATAAGAAATGTTTCATGTTGACCAAGAAAAGTTACTTTTAAGTTGCAATAATTGACTGTATTTTTGATCAAATAAATGCAGCCTTGAGTATGAGACTTCTTTCCAAAACATGAATAAAATCTTACCGACCCCAAACTTTTGAATGGTTGTGTATACTTCTAAATTAAATTGTAAAAATTTTACATTTATTTGATGGTTATAATAAATAAAGTGCACATATATTCATTAAATATGTATTTCTATATAATTTGTTCGAAATATATTTATTTATAATTTATTTCCTTAATCATGTCAGTCATTTTCTCCTTTGTTTTCTTTTTTTTTTTAAATACAGTTCACTCTGCCCATGCTGATTGACACCCTACTTCAGGTGGTGAGAGGAAAAGATGGTTTTCCCTATGCTGTCCTCCAGATCCTTCTGAAGCTCATTGTCCTGATCATCAGCACACTTTTGCTGGTCATCGTCAGGGTGCAGGTCATTCAGTCCCAGTTGCCAGTGTTCACCAGGTGAGACCAGTGAAACCTCAGTTATGTACAATTTTTACATTGAAGACTGGAGTAATGATGCTGAAAATTCAGTTTCACTTTTAGTGTCACGTGATCCTTCAGAAATCATTCTAATATGCTGATTTGCTTCTAAAGAAAAATTTCTTCTTATTATCTATGTTGAAAATAGTTGTGATGCTTAATATTTTTGTGAAAACCGTGATACTTTTTTCAGGAGTCTTTGATGAATAGAAAGTGCAGCAATTATTGCGGCCAAGCACAAACAAAATAAGTATAAGCACCAGACCAACTGCAACAACGAGCATTTGCAGACATTTTAAGATGATTTTAGGCAAAATGGCTGAAAAATCATAAATGCTGTCACTAGTAATGATTTAATGAGTCATCACTTTCGACCAATAGGTGGTGCTGTGACCAAATTGATGTATTGGGGTCAGAGTGGGGTGACAATGACACATGCTAAGTTTGGTGTCAATTTGCCAAAGCATTAAGGCTCAGTCATTTAGGCATCATGCCTCAACTTTGTTGCTGCGGTATACGAAAACGGTTTTGTCTATCGAAACGAAATCTATAAATTTTTGTTGGCACATTCTGAAGATGATCTGACGTCTAGGAGGAGTTCGGAAAAACTAGGGTTTTAAAGAAAATCAAAATGGAGGACAGGAAGACTATGGCAAAATTGGTATCTATGTTCCCTGCATGACCCGATGAATCTATTAAGACCTTCCTTAAGAAGGAATCTTTGGTATTTGGCCCCTAATAAACATGCAGCACATATATTTAGTTTATTAAATCACAGCCTTTGATTTGATAATATTAGCCATATTGTGATTTCGGTTTTATTTCAATTAATCATGCAGCCCTACAATGCGGTATTGTATCCAGCGTGGACAAATGGTTTGTCACTGGAAACTTGTCACATCAAGCATGGAGTAATGCACAATCCCGAGTGGCTTATTGCCTCAATAAAAAGATTTATTACTGAACATTTGGTTTTAAAAAGGACATGGTTATGGTTTCATTGGCCAAGGAAAAATAGCATCAAATAGCAAGGGAGCGATGTGACTAATGAATGTAAACATGGTATCATTTTATGGCAAAATCATTCTTAGTAGTATCTATTAAGCTTTTGGAATGATGAGGGACGTCATGATGCTTTTATAACCATCAACAGCCTGGCCCTGAACTGAACATGATCTATCATCTGATCTGGAACCACCCCTATAGAGTCCTTAGATAGTGATCACTCTGCCCACCCTTAAACAAAAGAAGCATCTCGCTAAATCCAAGAGCTCTGTGTAAAATGCCTAGACATACTCCCGTCCTCTGATTATCACCCCCGGGGAAGTTGATTGGGATCTGAGTTAAAAATCCTTTTGGATCTGTCACGGAAGCGATCGCTAATCCCAAGACATAATCCATCGACTGTCTCCGACCGTCTGAATTAGTGTTATCGCACAGCTCTCTAGAGACATAATACACTGGATTAACATACTTTCGAAGTTTATTTTGTCCCTGTGTTGTATTTGGGGAATAATGTGATAATATTGTAATGCCCCAGCCAAAACAAAAACATTCTTCTTCCAAGAGATTGGATTTATGACGGGGTTGTGCAAAGGATTTTATTTGGTTTTTAATACTTGTTGGCTCTCCCACACTTCAAACCTCTCTCTCAAAACACAGCCTTCTATGAAAGCCAAGTGATAAACTTTGGTTTGTGTCCATTTCAAACAGCGGAAATATTTTGCCTTTGGAAAATATTAGCTTCGAGCTTAAAAGGAGGAACATTAACGTAACAAGTGTTTTTTAGTGAAGACTGAAAGCCCATGTCAATGTTCTGCACTTCTTATTTTTTTTAAGTGTTTTTGGTTTTATTTTTTTTTGCTGTAGCTTGACTGGTAGCGCATAGCACTATCAACGGCAAGGTCATAGGTTCAAATCCCATGGACATTGTATACTGATATATATATATATATATATATATATATATATATATATATATATATATATATATATATATATATATATATATATATATATATATATATATATATGTGTGTGTGTGTTAAATGTGCTTCCAAATAAATAAATGTGCAATTTGAAACCTGTTTTTAATTCAATCAGGATGCTTTAATTTCCTGTTATAGGGTGTTCATAATCATTATTAACCAGAAAGTGTTGCTGTTTAATGCGGTAAAGGCCACCATCTTTGAAAGCTTGTGATTCAAAGAACATCAACACTTTATTTAATCTGTTTTGTGAGTCTTGAACCAGAGTTAATTGCCTGTTGCCACAGATCATTGTTGCCAACTTGGCAGCATCGTTGTTCTGGTTACTTTTTTTTTTAGCCGCCTGATGCCTATCATTCAGTCTGGCTGTTTTTCAGTGTGGCTTGGACCCTTTTAAATCTCTCTGTGGTTTTACATGCATATGGAACAAGATGCATTGCAGAATAATCGCCATGGGCTGAATTCAACAAAAAAATGCTCTAAATGAATGCTCTAAAGAAAAAAGTTTTTATTTGCTTGGAAATGTTTATCTTGCAGTATTGTGATCTGAACACATTACTTTCAAGACTTTTAAAACTTTTTTAAACTTCTTCCTTAAATTTGAATTCCTGTTTGCACCCTCAATTCGAATTCAGAAATTGGAATGTAAAAAGCATTTTCATTTCAATACTGCTGTCTATTTAAATGTATTTATTCTTTTTTAATCGGTTTGAGTGAATGATTCAATGACTCACTAATAAAGACTTCACTTGTTTCATTACTGGATGAATCAGCATTTTGAAATGAATCTCTTGAATAAGTGATTCAATGACAAATACATTTGGGCAGCGTCTGAAAACTGTAGGCACCATTTGTGCATGAAGGTACCTCACGAAACTGATTTCAGACAGACTTCTGTGGCAGCGTAATGGTTTATTGATATACAGCCAAATAGAGCGAGCTTTGGTGATAACTAAGAAAATATTTAATACTACTACAATAGAGTGGAATCAGAAGTGGAAAACGTTTGTCAAAAGCATACATTTACACACAAACTGAACACCAACCACAACTTTTAGCTCAACTGCCACAGAATGGAAAGCACAGGATTGTGGGATATCTAAGGCAGGAAAGGATCTATGCTGCCTTCAAAAATCGATCAGAGGAAGGTATCTCAGGAGACAGGAAGTGAAGCTAACATTGGTGGTGTGTTTCGTCTTTAAGCGGGGCGCTGCGCAGACGATTGGTGTATGAAGCCTTGTATGCTTTCAAATCGCTCCCGCGATACTTTGATGTCATACACCAATTGGTCTGCGCAGCGCAACTTCAAGTCGAACACGCCTATTGTCTAACAGTCACTTGTTGCCAGACTCGCCACCTACTGGTGTAACGATTAACTCGATTAATTGATACAATCTATTAATTGATACAATCTTAATTTGAAGCATCAAGCTACTTTCAAAAGGTGATTTACTGTAATTTGATTGCTAGCATAGAGAACTGTGTTTATATTCAAACTATAAACTTTTCCCAATACTTCTGTAAAATCACAGTACTACTGTAATAATTGAATTATTGTAACACAGAAATAATGACTCAAATAAGACTGTTTGTGAAACTGTTTCAGCGCAAACACAAATTTGGTACTTGAAATTTGAAGTACGATCTTTCGTACAAAGATCGTACTTGTTAAAGTCCCACTCCGATCATATTTTGAGCTATTTTTAACCCTCTGGGGTCCAAGGTGTTTTTGGGGTCCTTGAGATGTTTTGACATACTCTGACATTTGTGCTTTTTTCAGTTGCTTATAAACATATTACTGGCAAAGGTGTAATTACACTCTATTTAGCACAAACAGGGCTACCATAATGTGTTATCAACATGTATGTACATTTTTGTATTTTTGAGAGAATATTGTTTATGCGTGGTTATTGAAAAAACTAAAACTTAAAGTTTCTGAAATAAGGCCACAAAACACATACTAAATATGTGTCCACAAGACTTTTGACTAATGGATGTTGTCGCCTAGAGTTTTTTCTTCAAAATGATCTGAAAATCATCCTGCCTTATCATTCACATAAAACAGTAGATTGGTTTAAATTTAAAAATGACACTTTTTGTTTGGAAAGGCAATATGCGCAGGGGTGTGACCTGCTGTGATTCACACCTGAGAAGACAATGGGCCCGCATAATGAGTGCATAATGGGGCTGCATACTAATGAGCCTTTCATTCAGGTGTGCCACTGAGCCACAAGAAGGCAATGACAATACATATATATATATATATATATATATATACACTCACCGGCCACTTTATTAGGTACCCCATGCTAGTAACGGGTTGGACCCCCTTTTGCCTTCAGAACTGCCTCAATTCTTCGTGGCATAGATTCAACAAGGTGCTGGAAGCATTCCTCAGGGAGTTTGGTCCATATTGACATGATGGCATCACACAGTTGCCGCAGATTTGTCGGCTGCACATCCATGATGCGAATCTCCCGTTCCACCACATCCCAAAGATGCTCTATTGGGTTGAGATCTGGTGACTGTGGAGGCCATTTTAGTACAGTGAACTCATTGTCATGTTCAAGAAACCAATTTGAAATGATTAGAGCTTTGTGACATGGTGGAAGTAGCCATCAGAGGATGGGTACATGGTGGCCATAAAGGGATGGACATGGTCAGAAACAATGCTCAGGTAGGCCGTGGCATTTAAACGATGCCCAATTGGCACTAAGGGGCCTAAAGTGTGCCAGGAAAACATCCCCCACACCATTACACCACCACCACCAGCCTGCACAGTGGTAACAAGGCATGATGGTTCCATGTTCTCATTCTGTTTACGCCAAATTCTGACTCTAACATCTGAATGTCTCAACAGAAATCGAGACTCATCAGACCAGGCAACATTTTTCCAGTCTTCAACTGTTCAATTTTGGTGAGCTCTTGCAAATTGTAGCCTCTTTTTCCTATTTGTAGTGGAGATGAGTGGTACCCGGTGGAGTCTTCTGCTGTTGTAGCCCATCCGCCTCAAGGTTGTGCGTGTTGTGGCTTCACAAATGCTTTGCTGCATACCTCGGTTGTAACGAGTGGTTATTTCAGTCACTGTTGCCCTTCTATCAGCTCGAACCAGTCTGACCATTCTCCTCTGACCTCTGGCATAAACAAGGCATTTCCGCCCACAGAACTGCCGCTCACTGGATGTTTTTTCTTTTTCGGACCATTCTCTGTAAACCCTAGAGATGGTTGTGCGTGAAAATCCCAGTAGATTAGCAGTTTCTGAAATACTCAGACCAGCCCTTCTGGCACCAACAATCATGCCACGTTCAAAGTCACTCAAATCACCTTTCTTCCCCATACTGATGCTCGGTTTGAACTGCAGGAGATTGTCTTGACCATGTCTACATGCCTAAATGCACTGAGTTGCCGCCATGTGATTGGCTGCTTAGAAATTAAGTGTTAACGAGCAGTTGGACGGGTGTACCTAATAAAGTGGCCGGTGAGTGTATATATATATATATATATATATATAATACAAAATTGGTTCACAGTTCCAATTATTTATTTATTTTTCAAATTGTGCTTGCAAATTGTATAATATCAAATATAAAAATTTCTAGTAATTGTGCAGTTAATTATCATACTGTTTTTACAGAAAGTTTGGGAATGTATCCCAAATGTGTCACTAATAAAACACAATACAAATAATTTAAAGAGGAGGCTTATATTGAGCTTTTAAGATTTACCTAAGATTTATTTATATGTAGCCTACATATATTTTTGCTATTTTAATAAAAAGGTTACAATTACAACAACAATTAAAATTTTAACTATATTTCAAATGTAATATTTCTTTGTATTATATACTAAAGTATACATTTTATCATACATATTTCACAGTTGCGGATTAATTAGTTTGAATATAGCCTACAATCGAACAAACACTATAATAACATCTTAGCAAACAAGCTTATTTGATGTGGCAGTATTTTACAGTAAAAACGACATCTTGTCTTTCATATGTAACATCGTTTTTATGATTAGGACATATAAATGTTAATTTGCAGTTTAATACGTTGCTTATACAACAATATTTTATTTCAACATATTTCAGTCGATTTTTACTCATCTCAGTATTGGAATATAGTTAGGTAAAAGCTGTTCATTCATTCACACACAAAAACGCGATTCAAACAGTCTTTTTGTTTACAGACACTATTCCATATCGCGATTAGCACAAAGCACTTGAAAATAAAGAATGTACCTATTTCCTCGGCTGGATCCGTTGCTCCTCCAAATGAAACTACCTGTAGCCTACTTCTGAGGTAATTTTTTCCAGGATTATTATTAAGATAGTACTATTGTTCCTCACAGCGTCGTAAATCTGAGTCTCTTTCGGTGGGTTATCCAGCCGATGTGGGCGTGGATCGCCTCAGAGCATTTGTGTTTGAATAGAGCGCGCACTCCGTGGGCGTGGTCAAATTAACTTTAATGAGCTGAGACGAGAACGACTATCATCTCTCTCTTTTCGTACAGATTACATAAAATGAGAAAATTTGTTTTTTTATATAAATTACTTCATTTAAAAGAAGATAATTGAGGCTTCATGCCTGTGTGCCTGTATACTTGTTTGACTGAGTATTTGCAGAGTTACAGTTGATTTTTCGGACGCGTTTCAGAATGGACTTCACTGACAGAGAGAACGCAGAACGCGCATCATGTTTATTTTTCTTTATTAGGCGAAAAGCACAACACTTTGTTTTTATTAGGAGGTTCCACAAAAAAAATACAAACTTAACAGGATCGAATGATGTACAACACTTATATGTAAGATCAAAATCAACAGAGTAATTTGAGTCTCTTTTGCACTGATAAGGAAAAAAGTGAGCTGGTATCGCCGGCGAGACCGCCGACCCCAGAGGGTTAAACATTCCCAGTGGTCTTTAAATTATGATTATGCCATTTTTAGCCAAAATCACAAAACCTGTGCCGTTTTCTGGGACTTCGCTTCAGCAGAGCGGCAGTAGCTCATTAGCAATTCGCCTCTGCGTTGTGGGCGGAGCCGTTGGCACGGAGACGACCCTCCCCCTGCCCGTTGCTGAGAGCTCTGTCTCTCCCGCTAGCTTACACCCCCAATACCGGTGGGGCAACAGTATTATATACACGTTAATTATTATTATTCGAAGTTAATCAAAGTTATCACCGATCACCGATCATTATTTCACTCCAAGACGTCGCGTGTGGAGACGCCCAGTGGAGTTACTACGTCACAACTCCAGTCTATTTTAGCCGGAATTTCTGCGTCTACTACTGATTCACAACCATTTGAATGTAGAAATACAACTTTGAGCTTATTTTTCTCAAGATATGTCCTCTAACATCAGAAAAATGCCACAAGAACATGTTAACACCTAGAAAAACATTATTTTCATCGGAGTGGGTCTTTAAACGTCTCATAGACACAGATGAATTTAGTTGTCATTTAGAGATGTGATCACGTGGCTGTTTGGATCGAGATCACAATCTTTTAACGATTAATCGTGCAGCTCTACTGAATAGTGTAGAATTTAAAATGTTAAGAATTCAAGTTGTGTTCAGTTCTCTTCAGGCGTTCAGATCTTTAGACAATGTGGCACAGTTGTGATCTATTGAACTTTGACCCATGTAATTATATTTATGATATTGGTTAATGGTTCACAAGCACAGTACTAGCACAAGCTCTTGAACTTGCACAGTAATAAACAATTATTAGAGTATTTCTCCAGCCATTCTGGATAGCTGAAGGGAAAATAAAAAATATTTAAAAATATGCCGTACAATGTTATAAATATTGCCTTAAACTTAATATGAAACACAAAGGTTGTTGCACTAATCTCCAGTAAACATTTGAAAATAAGTTAAGCTAGTAGAACATTTTTTTAGTAAATTGATTAGGTGAAACATAAAACCAGTATTTTCGTATCTGTATTCCTCTTATCAATGCAACCTTTTCCAAATGGATAGTGTCTCTTGGTACGGTATGTCTTAATGGAGAGGAGTAAGTCATTAATTCTTTCCCATCTATCATCAGGTTTGATAATCCAGCTGCTGTCAGCTCCACCCCGACCAGGCAGCTGACCTTCAACTACCTCCTGCCAGTGAACGCCTGGCTGCTGCTCAACCCCTCTGAGCTGTGTTGTGACTGGACGATGGGCACTATTCCCCTCGTGGAGTCCCTACTGGACCCCCGCAACCTTGCCACGTTGGTATTCTATGGTCTGCTGAGCTTCCTGGCTTTTCACAGCCTTTGGGACGGCCACAGTTCTGCCAAGATCGTCATGATGGTACGTTTGTGGGTGGGGCTTATGGGAAATTTGATTATGTGTGATTTGAAAGAACAAGAGGATCTATTTGGAACTTTTTGTTAAGTTAAGACGCATGTCTGTAACCACAAACTAAATGAGAAGATGCTGATTCTTTCGGGGTTTTTTAACGGTTGTCTATATAAACGCATAGGAAAAACACAGAGGAAATTGTTTATTCCAAAACATTTTGAAATAATACCTTCCTCATTTGCAGTCTGTCAGAAACAATTTAGGGGTGTTTTCATCCATACTGGATGACCCATGCACATGAACTGGTTTCCCAGAATCCAAGTAAACCATTAAATATGCATCATAGTTAAAAACGATCATATTCAAATAATCAAAATCAAAGAACTAGTGATGTGAGGGGTATCTGCGTCAATGGCATCACACCAATTACAGGATTCGAACATGATGGTGATTACAAATTATTGGAAACTTGCTGGGTATCTCTTAAAGTCCCTTTCATGCAAGTCACTCCACTCAAAGGCCATCTGGCCAATGTCACACACAGCTATTTTCTATGTTGGCAATTGGCAGAACAGCTTCTATACACTTGAATCTTAAAGAACCTTTATTTTTGAGAGTGTAGCACAAAAAAACCCCCTTTAAAACCCATTGTGGATGTTCCTCATATTTCACTTTAGTCCCTTAATTTGAGGAATTTTCTATGTATGTGAAAATAAACTTTAGGCATCCTAGATAAACTTCCCATGGATTTTTTTCAACTCGAGTACAAATGTGTTGTTTAGATTTGAATCGATTGTGTCACTTCAGACAACGTACTATATTGCAGTTCCTTAAGTTTCTGCCCAACTGGTGCACTACTCCATTTTACATGCTTTTCAAAGCCAGTTTTTACTCTCATTTGGTGCTTGGCGAGTAAATAAATTTTGGATCCTGTTTGTTAGGATTATGTTTCAATCACATCAAATCAGTAATACAATCTGACAACATAATTTTTGCTATTTAAGCTCAAATCACTCTAAAGAGATGTATTTTTTCAGGCTGCTTCAGCTTATGGGCAATTTGGTGGAAACTAAAAGTAGCTCATGACTCAATCGAAAAGGCGATTGCCCGTTTTAACTAGATCGAAGTTAAAGAAGGCACTTGATGTCTAGAAATGCATGTGCGTCACAACCTTTCATTATAAACAGATGGTAATTATAACCCAAAATGGTACATTTATGGGGCAGGGTATTCATTTTTGAGTTTAAGTCTAAAAGCTGCACTTAAAAATTGTTCACACTGTTTCATACCCACAGTGCAGTACGTTCTGGACCATTTTTTTTTTTCTCAACTCTCAGTGAATGATTAATGTCATCTGTCTGAACACACAGATTTCCCCCTCACTGAACTTTTGCAACTATTCCATGTTTTTAAACGTTTAGTCTCACACAACATTTTCTTCTTCTCAATTTACAGCCCAAAAGAGCCGTGTTTTTTCCATCCGCCATAAAAGATGTTATCGTCTTATAGTCTGGCACTGCAGCTCTGATGTCTACATATGTTCAATCACTGACTGATTCCACAAGAGTTCACAATGTCACAGTTGAAATCCCCTTGTCTTGTGTGCTCAGCTCTCCACTCGTTTGTTGTGTAACAGTGGCTAGAATCCTTCATCCGCGTCTCCACGCGCTGTCAACAGAGTTTGGTGAACTTCCTCGCTCTGTTGGCAGAGGCCGCCCTTCGAGACCGCACAAATCATTAGCGGACAATGCGCAAAGACGCTGTGGTTAGGAGACAGAGAACAGGTTGCATGAGGATATTGGTCCGAATCTGTTTTATTTGGCCATGGTTAGTTATTTTAATGATTCCCTGTGCGCAGACCCTCGACACTCACTCTGAGCAAACAGGAAACACTTCTGTTGTGAAAGTTTGGCTAATTTGACTGTGAAGTTTTTTTTCCGACTTTTGCATGTTCCAAAGCAACCAAACAGCACACAGCACCGCAGCTGATGAAAACCACAGACAAAGCTTTTGTTTGTGCAGAAACTTCTTTCATCATGATTGATTTTGGCCTCTGAAGCATCAAGCAAATTGGATAAATATGATGTTCCCTGTATTGCTGCTTTCGGCTCTGTTAAATCCACCCCTACGTAAGCAACGCCTGACGGTTTGGGTCTTGACGTACTCTGAAGCTGCTGCCAAAACCAATTTCTGCGATTCACTTTCAAGACCGCACAATGCAAGATAAACGCCCCTGTTTTTTTGGAATGGTGCGATTTAAAAAAAGGCTTCTCTATATGACACCCTGTGGTTTACTTGACGATAAAACTAATACATTTGAGCGTGCTTTGAAAAGTGACTCTTCTGCTGATAAAAATGGGGGAGATTAGCCGTAGCTAGACAAAACAAAATTAGTTTGTTCTTCAAAACAGGGTGTCCAAGGGCTGTGCCCTTGCAGCGGTTCAGTGTTTCAAAAAATCCTGATCCATCACCTTGTCATAAGGTGCTTTTCGTAAATAAAACCTATAATCCCAATCTTACATCTTGCGGCCTGGCATGCATTGTGCAAGACAGGCGTGTTTGCTTGTGGTTTTGATGAGAAGGACCATGTTTGAGGAGCACTGCATTTACATGCTCTCATTTTTGTTTAATCAATCATATTTGTTTGAACATTATCACCATTCAGAGAAATTGGACCATCGTGATTACATAGCTCTGTAGATTTCTTGCACTTGTTCTACAGGTCAATCGTGTATAATTGGGTTTAGTTCCAGATTAATCAAACTTATGGTCTTGGTTTCAGACAAAGCTTCATGAAACCAGAGTGATTAGCATTCAGACCTGCACAAGCTTGTCTGAACCAAACAATGAGAACATTTAAATCCAAGATTTTTTTGCTTATGGAATTTCTTAGTTTACTGGGTCATTTTTGTGCCCACTCAGGGTGGCCACTTAGACAAATCCCTGACTGGATGCCAGAGCAACTGGCGTTTCTTCTTCCTTTCATTAGATTTCAAAGAGAGAGGACAAAACAACTGAACACTTTTCTGTATGGGGATATGGACTGTGTTTAAAGGCTTGATAGTCTTGATTAGTTAAATAAAAAAATCTCGAAGCTTGCACAAACTTCTGATGTCAGTGAGACTTTTAGACATCAACTTTTATACCTTGACATCTTAATGCAAGTTTACAAAAAAAAAAAGTTTTATGTTGTATCAAACCTGACTTCTTTCGTGACTTTCTTATAATATTTTTGAATAAAGTACTGATTGCTTCTTTTGCTCCCTTGCTAATGCACTGGTTTAAGTTTTGGTCAACTCAATGATTCAAAGTTTATCAATAAACAATTAATACAATTTTTGTTTTTAATAGGCTTTATGCACAGCTTTACTACTTCCTGAACTTCAGCTAGCTCCTTTGTTTCCTGTCTGCCATTATTGGACAAACTGATTAATCCAGGTGTGCCTGATTATTGTTACTGAGGCCAGGCACACCTGGATTAATCAGTTTGTCCAATAATGGCAGACAGGAAACAAAGGAGCTGGCTGAAATTCAGGAAGTAGTGCAGCTGTGCATAAAGCCAATTCTAAGATATGAGCTGTGCTTTTAGATAGTTTATTCACGGTTGCGAAAGTGTGGAAAATGGCACAGAACTATTTTCCTTTTTTATTAACTTATTAATTCACTTCCTTTGAAAGCAACAAATGTGTATGCAATTGATCTATTCCTTTAATACAAATATTTGTATTATTTCTCTGGTCTTTTTGTCTCCTTTAGGCATTGTCTCTGATCGTCCTTCCTTTCATCCCTGCATCCAACCTGTTTTTCCCTGTGGGCTTTGTTGTAGCCGAAAGGGTCCTGTATGTTCCCAGCATGGGATTTTGTGTTTTGGTGGCCCATGGATTCAAACTCCTGTCCCAAAGAGGGTAAAGGTCCTCTGAACAAATCCTTATACTTTATTCCTTTTGAGTGACTTGTTCAGAGACGAATTCTCTCGTTTTTGTGATGTTATCCAGAGGCCTAAAGAAAATGTCTTGGTTGCTCGTGGGAGTTCTTATAACAACACACGCCTTGAAGACTTTCAACAGAAACTGGGACTGGGAGTCCGAATACACGCTTTTTACATCTGCACTGAAAGTATGAACAAATCCAAGGACACATTATTCATTTATAGATGCTTATCTGGCCACAGGCTCATACATATTATTTTGAGACCATTACTTTGAATAAATCCAGCTCTCTGCCTTATATCAAAGGAGGAGTCCAGACGTTAACAAGAGTACAATGAAATGATGTCAGGAAAATATGATCAGTAATCTTAGCCTGGCATGCCTGAAACATTTTAAAATTGTTTTCCTCCAGGTGAACAGGAACAATGCCAAACTCTGGAACAATGTCGGACATGCTTTGGAGAATCAGAACAGTTATGAAAGAGCATTGAGATACTTTCTTCAGGCCACAAGAGTGCAGCCAGGTAATTGACTCAACCAGGTAATCATTTTAAGGTTACCTAAGCATCTTTAAAGTAAACATGATCATTTCACTCACGTAATTCTGCGTGAAACAGGATATTCAATATGGGAAAAAAAATTAAATTATAGAGATCATAAAACTAATCCATATGAATTGAGCGGTTTAGTCACAAATTTTCTGAAGAGACTCGATCGCTTTATGAACAGATTGAATTGTTGAATTGAGCTTCTGTTTAACTGATAACTGATGTGTGAGTTGATGAATGTTTAAATGTGAATAAAAGACTAAATTAAATCTGTTCATCATATAAAGCAATCGATTCTCTTCAGAAAATTTTGGACTAAACCACTCAATTCATGTGGATTAGTTTTACGATCTCTTTATGAACTTTTTGAAGCGTCAAAGTTTCAGTTGTTTGTTGTCATTGGAGGGACAGAAAACTCTCAGATTTCATCAAAAAGATCTTAATTTGTGTTATGAGGATGAATGTAAGTCTTATGGATTTAGAACGACATGAGAGTGAGTAATTAATGACATCAGCAGAAAAAGAAAGTCGTTTTAGAGGAAGAGCAAGTTGTTGCATTTTAATTTAAGATCATGAAAAAACCTTTTGGGGCAGAGGAGGGATAACATGCACCAATGGATCATTTACAGTAAGACCAGTAAGAAAATAAATGGTCAATTATATTTTCATTCTGACTTTCAAGTGACAGTTTGTCTTTGGGAAGGATTTTGTTTTCCACAGACGCAAAACACTAAAAAGACTTCAATTCATAATATTTCCAACAGTTCTTTCAAAAATAAAATTAGCCTATTTTAAGCAAAACTCTCCATTGGATATGTTGTTTTAGGGAGGTGTGGGAAATTCTGCCTTTATTATTATAAGTTTGGAGGCGTTTTGGTAAGGACAATTTCAAATTGTGCATAATCTAACAAGTAGTAGTTTATGTAGTATTTCATGGGACTGTATGAAAACATTGGCCTATAAAACTACTTTCGCACTTAAGTGTCTTGAGAATATGTGGATTTAAGGATTTGATGCGAGAAGATGTGGATCTAGGTTTTGTATTGGCTCTGCTGTATCGTTGTCAGGCTACCTGTGAGAAAGACGACTGTGGCTGCCGAAGTCATTAAACTATTGACTTTAATTGTTTAAGTTATGTTGGTTTATTGAGCTAACATGACTTCAGAGATCCACCACCCAAGATGTGTTTTTCCAAGATTAACTCTGTTAGCACATTAATGGACTAGGAAATCCTGGGCAGGCTATCTATACGCGTCAGTTTGCTTTTCATAACAAAAAATTCTGTACCGCTTCGGTGTGATTAGACGTTTCTCAGAAAATGCTGATAGCATTATCAGTTTTACACATCGAAACCTACCAACACTAATGATTAGCTCTCTGTTGTTCGAGGTTACGTGGGCCACATGGCTAAAAAAGCTTGTAAAGGGAGAAGCTTTCACAGGAGGTGCTTTTCCTCCTCCCAGTCTTTCCTGCCGATTTCTCGTCCCAAATGTGTATTAAACTGGTCAGCTGCCTTGTAACTGTTATAATTTGTTGCACTCGAGCCATATAATTCACATTCCACCATGTACTCTGTAAACTTTGACGTTTAGTCTGTACTATTTTCTTGATTTATGACTTATACTAAACATGTGTCCTCTTCTAAGATGATATTGGGGCCCACATGAACGTTGGGAGAACCTACAAGAACCTAAACAGGTCCAGAGAGGCAGAGGAGGCATATCTAATCGCAAAATCCCTTATGCCACAGGTATGAAAATCCCATATAAGGAAAAAAAGGAGATATTTTGTTATATATTTAGATTGTCAACAAACTTTGATATAAACGATGAAATACTTTTACTTTTCAATATTTTTTAGCAATTCTGCTCAGTGGCACAGAAATTACCTATACATTTGTATAAATTGTTGATTTAAAAAAATAAAATAACATGACCATGTTATTTGTCGACTGCCTAGCTATATCAAGCTAGATATATCGCCCAACCATAATACTCTTCTAAGTAGCCTTCTGTGTTTATTAGTAGTTTTCATTGCAGTTCAGAAACGACTTAGTCTTGTCACAAGAGAACCTGTTTCCTCCTGTCCTCTCCTACTGCATCAAGTGATAAACTATCACTGCCTGAATGTTACAAAACCCAACAAGCTCGTCTGTAATTTTGAAGATGATCATAATTTAACCCAAGGGAAGTTTTGGCCTGTGAGTTATTGGCTCACAGGGACTGTTAAAAGGTCTGTGATCTCGGTCCACCTTTTCTCTTATCTCACTCTTTTCTACAAATAGAAGGCAACAAATGCTGAATAACTAATAGTTTGTGGCTTTTAGTCCATTTGCATTCATCTATATGCCCATGTACTCCTAAATTTTATCAATGTTGAAAACATTTGTGCTGCGAAATATTTTTGTTGAAACGTAAATTTACTACTATTATACTATGTAAAATTGATTTACATTAGTTTGAAAGTCTATGTGCTATCACAGTGGATGATAACTGTTAATTGTAACCGGCTCTGACTATCACTCAATTTGCCCAGGTTCGAGTGATACAATGTGTTTTACTCTAAATGACCTATTCAGTCTACTAAATGTAAACTTAGGGTGTATTCACACCTGCCTTGTTTGGTTCGATTGAATCGAACTCTAGTTCGTTTCCCCCCTTGGTGCGGACCTTTTGGGCAGGTGTGAATACAGCAATCGAACTCTGGTGCGGACCAAACAACCGAACCGAGACCCAGCTGAAGAGGTGGTCTCGGTACGGTTCCAAACTAACTCTGGTACGGTTCGTTTACGGTGTGAACATGAACCGACCCAATTGCAGGAAAGCACTGCGCCTTTGAGTTAACAGGCTTCCGTAGTCAGAGATTTTGGTATAATGGTTTGTGTTATTGTTGTTCAAGTGCGAAAGAGAATTCCATTCCGGCGCGCTGTCTGGCCACACGATACTGTTGCGCGTCTTTCTGCGCGTCGTGTGTGCATCATTGGAATGGAATGAATGAATGATTGTGTGCATCAGGACATTCACATACAGCGCGTTCTCTTTAGTCTAATCGCGCATAGATGCAAAAAAAGCTTTTGCAGTTCATATAATGTAACGATAGTTAAATACCTGCGTTAAACTGGACAACTTAAATCGCAAGCATTAACATTGACAGCACTTGTTAGCAGTATATAAGAATCTCATTATGAACATAGCCCCTCTCTATGAATCAAAACTTTATACCTTATCCGTCTTCTGCGCAGTTTCTTCATATTGCGTAGTACAGAATAACACAAAATTAGTAAAATAACAAATATTGCATTACGAAATATCTCCATGCTGAGCCTTTTTTGCACTTCCTGATTTCCCTACTTGAGAATCCTTGTCCAATGAATGGACGACCTTAGCACACGTGTGGTTTTGTTTAAAAATTTTGGTTCACTTGCAAAAAGAGCAGTGTGAAAGCGAACCGTACAAAAAAAAAAAAAAAAAAAAAAAAAAAATTATTTGGTCCGGACCAAAGCAAGTGAACTATCGGACTTTCCTGGTGTGAATACACCCTAAATAACAGGCTAGTAGGTAAAAAGTCGGCTCTAGCTAGAACATGACAGCTGTACAAATGGATTTTTAAACGGCAATCACATTTTTTTTAATTATTAAAAAATAAAATGCAGGACATGCGACAAAGCTCTCTATTTTGGGATTGTCCCGGTGGTTACCCTATTCCTGAATAAAGTTATGAATCTTAGGGTGTATTCACACCAGGAAAGTCCGATAGTTCACTTGCGGACCAAATAATTTTTTTTTTTTGTACGGTTCGCTTTCACACTGCTCTTTTTGCAAGTGAACCAAAATTTGTAAACAAAACCACACGTGTGCTAAGGTCGTCCATTCATTGGACAAGGATTCTCAAGTAGGGAAATCAGGAAGTGCAAAAAAGGCTCAGCATGGAGATATTTCGTACTGCAATATTTGTTATTTTACTAATTTTGTGTTATTCTGTACGAACGCAATATGAAGAAACTGCGCAGAAGACGGATAAGGTATAAAGTTTTCATTCATAGAGAGGGGCTATGTTCACACATTCAAATAATGAGATTCTTATTGTATATACTGCTAACAAGTGCTGTCAATGTTAACGCTTGCGATTAAGTTTGTCCAGTTTAACGCAGCATCATCCTTGTATTGTAACTATCGTTACATTATATGAACTGCAAAACCTTTTTTGCATCTATGCGCGATTAGACTAAAGAGAACGCTCTGTATGTGAATGTCCTGATGCACACAATCATTCATTCATTCCATTCCAATGATGCACACACGACGCGCAGAAAGACGCGCAACAGTATCGTGTGGCCAGACAGCGCGCCGGAATGGAATTCTCTTTCGCACTTGAACAACAATAACACAAACCATTATGCCAAAATCTCCGACTACGGAAGCCTGTTAACTCAAAGGCGCAGTGCTTTCTTGCAATTGGGTCGGTTCATGTTCAAACCGTAAACGAACCGTACCAGAGTTAGTTTGGAACCGTACCGAGACCACCTCTTCAGCTGGGTCTCGGTTCGGTTGTTTGGTCCGCACCCGAGTTCGATTGCTGTATTCACACCTGCCCAAACGGTCCGCACCAAGGGGGGAAACGAACTAGAGTTCGATTCAATCGCACCAAACAAGGCAGGTGTGAATACACCCTTACTGGAAAAAAAAAACCTTACTGACCCCAAACTTTTGAACACTGTACGCATTCAAAATGTACTATGTTTTTGTACTAGGAAAATGGACCTGACCTGAAAATCCTGACCTGCACATATTTTTGTCCAATCAGATGCTCTCTGGAAAGAGAATGCCCCTCAATATCATTTGCAGCAGATTAGCAAGTAGCAAATTATGGTTCATAGCTGTGATGTACCTAAAGCATATTGGCTATTTAAAAATGCTCCATCCACGTCTTGACCAATTTTCTTGAAACCAATCTTATGGCCTTTAACTTCACTTGGGTCTATATTTCATGTTGGAATGTAGAAGGAACATAGGCCTACTGAATATATTATTGTTATAGATTGAGTCAAATGTATGTATATGTAAATGCTTACAACCTTGGCTGATCTTTCCAAAACACATTGGCAGATCATTCCAGGGAAGAAGTATGCAACCCGTGTGGCCCCCAACCATCTGAACGTCTACATTAACCTGGCTAACCTAATTCGGGCGAATGACTCTCGCCTGGAGGAAGCCGACCAACTCTATAGACAGGCCATCAGCATGAGACCAGACTTCAAGCAAGCCTACATCAGTCGGCAAGTCTCCGTTCATGCTGACAGGGTCAAAAATGTGTTTGTAAACTTGCTAACTTACTGACAGGGCGAAATTAAACTGAATGTGTTGTAGTTCAGACAGTATTTTGGCTTTGATGAGAATTTTTTTTAGCCCATGTGTACACTGGATGATGTTCAAGAGATACGATCTTGTAAAAGAATTGAGCATCTGTGTCTTACAATTTCACACCCATCCTGGATTTTTTTGCTATCCCTAAGAAAACATTTCTCATAGATATGAGCTGAAGTTGCATGCCATAGTAAATGAGTATCGGAGTTTGCTGTTTTTGTTACATTTAGCATAAAGTGAAAATGGACTTAGCCTTCACACTTTGTGATTTCTCTCTACATGTCTCATCCTGTAAATGAAATGTTCATCAGATAAGCTATTGAAAGTGGATTTACTGGAATGCCTTGGTTCTCACGAACTAACAAAGCTAACCCAAGAAAAAATCTAAACCTAAACCTTTGTATTACTCAAACTATTTGCTAAGAAAATATCGCTTAAAGAAACTGATCTTTCTTGTTGTACATGTGTATTAGATTTCCAAGGTGTCCTGTGAGAGGTATTCCAAAAATGTCTTTTTGTTTCTCTCAAAACTCAGAGGGGAGCTTCTTCTGAAAATGAACAAGCCCAGTGAGGCGAAGGAAGCCTACCTACGAGCACTGGAGCTGGACCATACCAATGCAGACCTCTGGTACAATCTGGCTATTGTCAATATCGAGATGAAGGACCCCTCAGAGGCTCTGAGAAACTTTAATCGCGCGTTGGACCTGAATCCACGGCACAAACTGGCACTATTCAACTCCGCACTTCTCATGCAAGAGTCAGGTGTGTGGGCAAAGGCCATTTAAACCAATTAAATTAGCCATCACCCAACCATCATAAGCAACTAATTTGGAAAGCTATTTTTATTGATACATTTCAGGATTTTGTGACTCGCATGTTGATAAAACTACTGTAGCAGTGCTATATACAAAAAAAGCATAACAATTCATACACACAAATATTAGGACAAAAGAAAACACAGAGCTTTTTTTCATCGATACTTTTCAGAAAAAGTAAAGTAAAGTTTTCAGAGTAAATTTTCTCGTTTCATCCTGGATTTTTTTTTTTTCTACTGAGCTGAAGTCTTTGATTTGCCTTCTCTGTAAAATATGCATGCTATTAGGGATGCACCGATATTTATTATTTATATTTGTAAGCCTATAACCGATATACACTCACCTAAAGGATTATTAGGAACACCATACTAATACTGTGTTTGACCCCCTTTCGCCTTTAGAACTGCCTTAATTCTACGTGGCATTGATTCAACAAGGTGCTGAAAGCATTCTTTAGAAATGTTGGCCCATATTGACAGGATAGCATCTTGCAGTTGATGGAGATTTGTGGGATGCACATCCAGGGCACGAAGCTCCCGGTCCACCACATCCCAAAGATGCTCTATTGGGTTGAGATCTGGTGACTGTGGGGGCCATTTTAGTACAGTGAACTCATTGTCATGTTCAAGAAACCAATTTGAAAGGATTCGAGCTTTGTGACATGGTGCATTATCCTGCTGGAAGTAGCCATCAGAGAATGGGTACATGGTGGCCATAAAGGGATGGACATGGTCAGAAACAATGCTCTGGTAGGCCGGGGCATTTAAACGATGCCCAATTGGCACTAAGGGGCCTAAAGTGTGCCAAGAAAACATCCCCCACACCATTACACCACCACCACCAGCCTGTGGTAACAAGGCATGATGGATCCATGTTCTCATTCTGTTTACGCCAAATTCTGACTCTACCATCTGAATGTCTCAAGAGAAATCGAGACTCATCAGACCAGGCAACATTTTTCCAGTCTTCAACTGTCCAATTTTGATGAGCTCTTGCAAATTGTAGCCTCTTTTTCCTATTTGTAGTGGAGATGAGTGGTACCCGGTGGGGTCTTCTGCTGTTGTAGCCCATCCGCCTCAAGGTTGTGTGTGTTGTGGCTTCACAAATGCTTTGCTGCATACCTCGGTTGTAACGAGTGGTTATTTCAGTCAAAGTTGCTCTTCTATCAGCATGAATCAGTCGGCCCATTCTCCTCTGACCTCTAGCATCAACAAGGCATTTTCGCCCACAGGACTGCCGCATACTGGATGTTTTTCCCTTTTCACACCATTCTTTGTAAACCCTAGAAATGGTTGTGCGTGAAAATCCCAGTAACTGAGCAGATTGTGAAATACTCAGACCGGCCCGTCTGGCACCAACAACCATGCCACGTTAAAAATTGCTTAAATCACCTTTCTTTCCCATTCTGACATTCAGTTTGGCATTTGTCTTGACCAGGACCACACCCCTAAATGCATTGAAGCAACTGCCATGTAATTGGTTGATTAGATATATGCATTAATTGAGAAATTGAACAGGTGTTCCTAATAATCCTTTAGGTGAGTGTATATTGGCCGATACATCTAAATCCAATTTTTTTATAATTTTTGAGAGCCTGATTACAAAAACAAAAGTCTCACCATTAAAAGCCATGTCCCAAGCACACAATTATAATGTTCTCATTATAGTTTTATGTAGCCTATATGAGAGACTTGCGCTGCGCATATTTTTTTTAAATGATTCCAATCATATTTCAAGAAATTCAAAACCATCATGGTGAACAGGGCGCATTTAATGTGTATTAACTGAAGGAAATAATCCATAATTCATCGGCCAACTTTTCTTATTGGGACGATAACATTAAAAATAGACATATATCGGTCGATACCGATATGGTGGCCGATATATTGTGCATCCCTACATGCTATGATGCCTTTGAATTTGATCATGCATCTTTGGCTATGAGACCCACCTTTTGAAACAGCGTTTGCGTCGGGATGTTTAGAAAGCTCACTAGGTTCTGAAGTAATAAGGTTGCAAAATACACTCCCTAATTTTTTATTTATCAGACCTGAGCTTTAAAAAACATTAGGTCCCTTACAAGAAACGTTAAGGTGCTCAATAATAATCTCTGTGAAAGCGGTTTTTGATTCACATGAGGTTAGACAAGCCAAGTTATTAACCTATGGATTGTTTGCGTGCCACCTCAAGGGAAGGCAGCAACCTCTCACCTACTTTGGTCATGTTCTCATGCCTGAAAATGTTAGCATTTGATCCAGCAGCTATACGTTTAAATTGAATTTGACTCATTGACCCTAACTTTGAGTTTTATGCCATTTTTTTCACTCTTAACTTTGAATAGCAGGAAAAGACTGATGGATTCATGCAGTTCGAGCTCAGCATTAGTTTGTCATTTTTCTGAGATTAGCACACCTACGCTGCAGCAATGTAAATACAACGAATACAACGGCTCTATTTGCACATGGTATTAGGCCTCTTGTTCAGACTGTTTAATCATGTGACTGAGGAAGCATGTTGCGATCAATTCACAGACCTGCTTGACACAACTGTTATTCTTGCATTTGGTTTTGTAGTTATACCCATCCATATTGGTTTTCAAATAAAAGCAGGTTTGTTTTAAATCAGACCTGCTTTCCACGGTTTCCCCACTTTTGGCCTACAGTTATTTTGAACTGTCTTCATGGGGTAATAAGAAGCTGACCGACACTCCTTACCCTCATTCTGACCTTATTGTTGCAACATAGGATGGTGCACAAGGTAAATCTTGTCAAAAAACAGAGCCAAAATACCACAGATAGCAGGCTTTTTGACATATTACTCCAAACAAAAAAAGAAAGCTTCATAATTCGGACAGGACACTGATTTAATAAGACTTTATTAAAAATGATGACCATGGCATGACTTAAAATGCATAAACCTAGTTAATGGTTTAACAATCTAAATACCCTATATTTTGGGTATGTGATGTTTGAATATAATTGACTTTAGTTGCTCACAAGATTTGCAGAATCGGGGACATCTGGTAACATTACTCACTTCACATTTGTTTTTTGGGTTGTTTTATTAAAATATAATAATTATTATTATTATTATTTTATTTTTTTAAACTTAATCACTTGATACCAGTAAAAGCCAATATGCTATTGAACACTCCTTAATTTAATTGAAACGTTAAAGGAGACCAAAAAAAGAAACCTATTCATTTTCATTGTGTGGAAAAGTTTGTACATTCTGTTGTGAATAACTTTCATATGGAAAGTCATATGGATTGGAACAACATGATTAAATTATAACAGAATCTTTTTTTTTTTTTTACATTCACATAAGACAACATAATCATTTACAATATTTGTAAATGACCTTTACAATGATCAAGTTATTAATTATAAAAAAAAATTGTCCCACCTGTTCACAGTCACTTAAGACATGACTTATAATTTGTAATATATTAATAATTATAATTACCTTTACAATTATTGTTATTTATAATTATATTTAATTTTGTCCCACCTGTTTACAGTCACTTAAGACAGGACTTATAATTTATAATAATATATTAATAATTTATCGATTCTTTTTAAAGATAAGATTATTATAATTATATTGATAATTTATTGCAGTAAATATTAATATTTATTATTTATTAAATTATAATTTGTTTAACTTAAGCATCATTATTGTGATAATAATTATGGACATATAATATATATTAGGGGTGTAACGGTACATCGAAGTTACGGTTCGGTACATACATTGGTTTTGGGGACACGGTTCAATACAGAATAGGAAATAGGAAAAATGGTCACACTTTAGTTTAGGGTCCAATTCTCACCATTAACTAACTATTGACTATGACTTTTGCCTCAAACCCCCAATTACTGCATTTTAGTTCGTATGGTTATTAAGTTTAGGCATGGGGTAGGATTGAGGGATGTAGAATAAGGTCATGCAGAATAAGGCATTAATATGTGCTTTACATATACTAATAAACAGCCAATATCCTAATAATATGCATGCTCATAAGCAACTAATAGTGAGAATTTGACCCTAAACTAAAGTGTAACTGGAAAAAGCAGAAAATCCACAATGCCAGGTTTATTTTATTTTATTTTGACATGACAGTAGTGCTAATTACAGTTTGTTCCACCTAGCGGCATTTGGTCTCCCTGAGGTAGTTGGTACAGTACAGCCTCCTTTAGTGTTTTAAGCACAAAGCAGTAAACAGAATTGCATAGGTCATATTGTTTTGCAGGCCTGATAAAAAAAAGAAGGTATTTGGTCACAATCAGCTACAAAACTGAACAGCATCTCATGTTCTAAAAGTACAAAATAAAAAAATAAAACTTGTGCATTAGGAGTGTTACAATTTGCTCCAGTAAACTATATTTAAACATTCAAAGCTTAAAGGTCCCATGGCATGAAAATGTCACTTTATGAGGTTTTTTAACATTAATATGAGTTCCCCTAGCCTGCCTATGGCCAGTGGGTAGAAATGGCGATAGGTGTAACCAAGCCCCGGGTATCCTGCTCCGCCTTTGAGAAAATGAAAGCTCAGATGGGCCAATCTGGAATCTTCCCTATATGTCGTCATACGGGGAAAGGTTACCTCCCCTTTCTGTGCTTTGCCCGCCCAGAGAATTTGGCCCGCCCATGAGAAAATGAGCTACGACCGTGCAAGCTCGATATGGGTTTTTCCTCGAGAGACATCATGGCTTGCAAACGAGCAAAGCATGGCATGGCAGTTGCTCAGTGTTTGGATGTACAAATGAACACAAAAGTCTTTTTTTAGTTCCTTCATCACAACGGCACCTATCCAAAAACCTAGATGTAATAATGGCAGAGGTCTGACTAAACATAGTGGCGTTGATTAGTGTCTATAGCTGATATTTTATATATATATATATATATATATATGACAGAGTGGACAAGCAGGTGTTGAGTAGTGGTAAATCTTCAGGAGTAAATCATGGTTTGTGTAACATGACTTCAATATACGTGGACATGGAGAACTTTGTCATTAAAAAATTAGCCAGAGTACAGTCTTCTCTAAACTACAAAGATTACTGATATAGATGCTAATACAGCTTTAGAACGATAGCAAATCAGAGCACCATGAAAAGCCAACAACGTAGGCTAGCATTAGCTACATGATAATAACTGTAACAGCATACATAAACCAACCAACTAAAGTACCGTATCCAGACACCATATTTTAAACTAACCATTCGGATACATCCTGCTGTAGCCGCTGAGTTGCAACTTCTTCAGGTGCTTCTCCATCCGGATCAGATTCTGGGTCAAACTGGAAAGCTTGAACGACTGCGTGTCTATATCCACTGTAAACATTAGCGTATGGTACTGTGGCCGCAAGCTGGTCAAGGCCACAACCCCACCCTCCACCTTGCCCCGCCTCTCTCCTCCTCATTAGCATTTAAAGCTACAGACACAGAAATGGCACGTCCTAAGGAAATCTCATTGAGGGACTGGCTCGTATTGGCTGTAATTCTGCACCAAGGCTGAATTTCGGGAAAGAGACTTCAGATACAGGATTAGGGGACCACTAAGGCCTATATAAAGCATCCAAAAAGTCATGGAACCTTTAAGCCTAACCCTCCTATACTTCATTTTCCACGTTCCGTTACACGCACAGTAGAGTGCGCAAACCTTTCAAAGTATAGCCCTACTCCTTTGTCAGTGAGCGCAGAGACGCATTCGACGCATGCACACTAGAGGACTTGTTTTCAAGCACTCAAGTCATTCACACATGCACTGTTGTTCTTCTGCTCTTTTTCCTCTTGTGGTGGTTAGCAAACAGTGTTGCATTACTGCACATGCCCCCTTTCTGGATTGGAGTGTGGATCGCCTGTGACTAATGTGTATTCGTCATCTGACTATGCACCGAACCGTGATGGTTCGGGGGGCGAATACATGTACCGTTACACCCCTAATATATATACAGTATATAAATATATATAAAAGGCCTTAAATGAACTCTCTGCAAGTGCCAAATGCGATGTTGGCGAGTATATGAAACGGTATCAATCGCCAGTTGGCCAGTAACATTACTATGAATTCTAAATGCAAATTTGTGTGAATGTGAACAATGCTCGGGACAGTTGACGGGACAGTGTAGGTAGGATATATACAGAAATTAAATAAAGTTATCAAACTCTTCACTGCATAAATTAAATATAGATTAATTTATTAAAGCTACAAAAATTATTCAGTCAAGATCAGTGAGTGATTTTTCTCTTTTTCTTTTGTTCTTTGATTATCCTTAATGATAGACAAAAGCGGGTTTGTTAGGCTGCTGTCACTTGCTGCAGATGTCTGAGAAAGCGATGGTTTGTTATGCGGATCTGTTACACATTCTCTTTACGTTCATTTAAGACTTAATGTAACTAATTTAATTGAGCCAGCAAGGATACTCGACAAAAGGTATTTTGGCATAACTTTGTGGTGTTGCTGTTTTCTTCCAACTATTTTGGTCTCAACTTGGAACTGAAATACTGGTACATTTGACATCCCTAGTTTCTTGTCCTTTACACTTTTTTTTCTCCACAAAATAAGTACCAAAACAGATTAAATCCAAAATCAAATCAAATGGTTAGTCTAATCTCTAAACTTTTAAGTAGAGTTCTATCTGTAACATTTGCACCAATCCTATGTCTTAATTTTTTTCTTTTTAGGTGAGGCAAAATTTCGTCCAGAGGCAAACCGTCGCTTTCTCACCTATGTGAAAGAGGAGCCGGATGATGCTAACGGCTACTTCAACCTGGGCATGCTGGCGATGGATGCGAACGAGAATGAAGAGGCCGAGCGCTGGATGCAGGAGGCCATTCGACTGCAACCCGGCTTCCGCAGTGCTTTGTTTAACTTGGCTCTGCTCTACTCTCAATCACAACGTGAATTGGATGCTCTCCCAGTTCTTGAGGAGCTGCTGCGGTACCACCCGGAGCACGTCAAAGGCCTGATCCTCAAGGGAGACATCCTCATGAACCACCGCAAGGATACACGTGGTGCAAAGGCCTGTTTCGAACGCATCTTAAACATGGACTCCAGCAACGTGCAGGCCAAGCACAACCTCTGCGTGGTGTACTTCGAAGAACGGGAGCTCCAGCGCGCCGAACGCTGTCTGGTAGAGACGCTCGCTATGGCCCCACACGAAGAGTACATTCGACGGCACCTCGCCATTGTACGCAACAAAATGGCCGCCATGAGTGCCGCGGGGCAGCCAATTGTGCAGACAGAGGGCAGTAGTGTGGCAGACAAAGAGCAAGAGCAACATCAACAGGACAAAAAAGAGGAGGAGGAAGGGCAAGGAGTTGCTTCAGGAGCAGGGGAGGGGGCCAGGAAAGAGAAGAATATGAGGAAATCCTCCCTCACAGAAAGCGTCAGCGGCCAGGGCCACGGCCAATCAAAGAATTTGGATGCAGGCCAGCCTGACAAGAGGACTAACAGCAAATCCACAAAAGAGATTAAAGATATAGAAAAGAAAAGGGCGGCTGCCTTGAAGAGACTGGAGGAGATTGAACGCATATTAAGCAGCGATTAACCTTGTTCATCAACCACCACACTATTTTTATATATAACTATTTAAAGCGCAAGAACGAGACTCCTGTTTTTCCTCCACAAATTGAGCCCTTGTTTATGCATGTCTTGTTGCGCTTTTGTTTGATTGGTTTTTTTTTTTATATATATATAAGGTGCGGTATACTTCCTTTTCCCACTGCTTTAATTATGTAAAGCTGTTTGGCTGAAAAAGGAAACCAGATGTGCATTCACAACATGCGCTGAAAAAGCACAAAATTAGGTACTTTTTTTAAAGAAACTGCAAAAAAAAATCGTATTTTACCATATTGTTTATTTATGATTGTCTATATTTGAGTCACTGGATTAGTTTTTGTCACTTTTGTGTATTGATTTAACTTACCACTGGCAAGTATTACTCATAATCACAAATAAAATGTTGATATATTAGCCAGCCTATTTTAAAGCAGGGCCTCTGAGTGGTCTGTCACTTGGCTGTTGGACTTTAGATCAGCAAACCCCTCCCCTTCTTTGCATGACATCACCGATTTCCTCCAATTCTTAGCTGCTGTTTGTTGATGTCATTATTGTTGCTATTTTAGTCTCGACGCTGAATGGTGTCAGTGTTTAATTATATCCTTTGACATAATCTAATTATGAATTAGGGTCACCTCCCTTCCTCAGCCCTCTTTTTGAAGGCTTCTGGGATTTTTCAATATGGCTTGCATTCTCTTTGGGCTCTTACTGATTTCACAGATTGGTCATGCAGAGCCAGACTTTGCTTTTTATTTGGACTTTTTGTTTTTATTTTTTATGTTTTCTGCTGCTTTTAGCTCTGTTTCTTGTTCTCCCCACAAAGACTAAGCCATAACATTAAAATCAAGCATTAAGCAGAACAAACTTAAAACCTTCATTTAAAGGATTAATTCCCCCAAAATTAAACTTGTCATTCTTTGCTTAACCTCATGTGATTTCAAACTTGTATGACTTACTTTCTTCTCTGCAACATAAAATATTTTTTTTACACCTCCTGTTATAAATGATGCAAAAGCATTATATGACTTCTGAGCTGTGCAATAGCTTTGTTCGACTAACAAAAACCAATTTAAATTATTCAATGAAGATCCTGACTTAAGCTCACCTAGGCAAGTTCATAAGAGAACTAGTGATGTCGGATTGACCCATCATTTTGAATCTGATCTTTTCAATTAAGCATTCAATCTAGTTCTGTGAGTGATTTGCTTGAGTCGCTGATCCAACGACACACTCAAAGCAGTTTACAGCTCACTGGAAGATTTTCCATGAATTACTAAAATTTTGGTCTGTTCCTCATACAGTTATCATATGACTTCAAAAGACTTCACATATGGTGCATATGTAGTCATTGGACCATGAAACCTATAATGTTGCTTTTTTGAAACTCCAGTCTCCATCCATTGCAATTGCACTGACATGAACGAACAGTACAGTTCTTGAAAATGTCGTCTTTTGTATTCCACAGAAGAAAGAAATTCATAAAGGTTTGAAAAAAAATTGATGACAGAATAGTCATTTTTTTGGTGAACTGTATGGAGAACATCACTGTGTTAGCCCAACATTTTTGCGGGTTCTTTTAGCTTTGTTTTTGAAAAGAATCAATCACGTCTTTAAAAGCTAAGATTATACGCCGCTGTGTTACTTCAGTATTTTAATGTGCTGCAGATACATATGTTGTGCTCAGTCAAGTTGGGCATATGGTTTCCTGTGGAGCTGAAACAACCATGCGCTCTCGCAGGAATCCTTTCGTCGTTTTACTGTTTACTTTGAAGGCAGGCCCTGAAATATCTTCTATCTCCTTTGACCTTTTTGAAGATCTTCACAGGAAAAAAAAAAAAGCAACCTGAGAGCTAGCGGTATTAACACAGGAAAATTCTGGGGTGTTATTTTGTTGCATTAAATAACGACACTTAAAGTAGCATAACGGTTGCCCTTATCCGATTAAGTAGTGGACTCAAGTAGTTCACAGTATTATCAGCTGTTTTGCCAATTGAGATCAACCATAAAACTTGAGTGAGAAGCCTGATAACTACACCTGTTTGCTCTTTCTTTTGGCAACTTGTGCATCTAAATCTTTTTTTATTTTATTGTAAGTTTGATAGTCTATAAGGACAGATTTACATGGTTGTATCATGTTAATTTTAAAATATTTAGTGTTAGGAGTTCACCTCTCTAAGAGGTTCATTTCCCACTAAATCATCTCACGCAACTTTCATTCAGCTGTATGTGATATGTCATATTTCAAGTTTCCCTCGGCTTCAGCTTGAGTCCTAATGATGTTTTAGGACCTTTTCCTCATGTTTACTCATGCTGTGCTTTTACACCAAATCCCATTTCTTACATCTTGATTTATAGTATTTGCTTTTTTACTTGGACTAATGTTTGACTTATGAGTGGTGGTGGGACCTATGGTTTTCCAATAAAAACAACTTACATCAGGAATGTCTCATAAATTCCACTTTTTTTATGCATTCTGGCAGCTGCAAACAAGCCAACGCAGAGACCTGATCAATTTTTTCGATTTGCAAAATCCACCCGGTCCAAAATTACTCACCCACGCCTTTGACTCGTGTGCTACCCAAAGGCTGTAACTGTCATTTAACTTGTTGTCAAGGCCTCAGGTTTCAGCATTGAGCTTGTGTTGCAATAGTGCTCGCTGTAATGTGATATGTGCGCAATGAAGTGCGCTGCAAACAAGTGGTACTTGCATTTGTTGAACAATTTGGCATGATATTGATCTTGGTAATTAACAAATATTTGTGTAACCCATTAACTCAAGCTGCCAGATTTTTGTGGAAATAGGCTTATGCTAAGAGTGGAAGGCCCATAACTAGGATTTGTTGAAAAACCGTGAGATCCGTCGCAAACGTAATTATGCACAGAATCTGGCAGGCAGAGGAGACTAAACCACAGAAACTTGAGCTTTAAATCGTCTGCAGAGCTCCCAGTTTAAAAAACAAGATTGTCATCACATTGACATTTGATCACACAAGATGTTTAATATGATTATGCTTTTAGTCCATGTGAGAGCACAATTTATATTATTGGATTAAAGGCTCAATGACTCTTTTGTATTGGAAATGCCTGATTACATTTTAAATGGCCATGTCTCTGGTTTGAGAATTCATGAACTGGTCCATGCCCTATGGAGGAGGAACGAAAATTAGCTGTTGGAGATGATAAACTATGGAAGATGGTCAGACTAAGTCCTTGATGAGTATTGTTAAGCATTTGCAATTTTATAAAACCTTCAGTGTTGTAATTAACATGATTTATATTATTGCATGTGGGTCATAGGTTGACCATTTTTTGCACTTTTAAAAAAATCTATAACTTTTTCTTCTAACTTTTCTTTAATATTAAAAGAATAAAAAATGATCTGGTCACACTTTAGATTAGGGTCCAATTCTTACTATTAACTATATTAACTACAACTTTAGCCTCAAACTCCTAATTACTGCTTATTACTAGTTAGTAAGGTAGTTAGGTTTTGAGTAGGATTAAGGGATGTAGAATAGGGTCATGCAGAATAAGGCATTAATATGTACTAATAAACAGCCAATATCCTAGTAATATGCATGCTAATAAGCAACTAGTTAATAGTGAGTATTGGACCCCAAACTAAAGTTTTACCAATGATCTATATATAAACAAACATATACACTTTACCAGCTAAAGTACTAGTACCGGTTTGGACCCCCTTTTTCCTTCACAACTGCCTTAATTCTTCGTGGCATAGATTCAACAAAGTCCAGAAAACATTCCTCAGAGACTTTGGTCCATACTGACACGATAGCATCATCTAGTTGGTGCAGATGTCAGCTGCACATCCATGATGCAAATCTCCCATTCCACCACATGCCAAAGGTGCTGTATTTGTCACGTTACGCTAAATAGAATCCAAGCGCAGACAGTACTTTCACAAAACACGGTTTATTTACAAACGGAAAACAAAGACCCACGATGGGGCAAACAAACAGTAACTAGACTTGACCATAAATAGGAACTGGAACTTTCACAGACAGATCACAATACTCACAGAACCGAATGTTAACAAGACGAACCAGCACTGAGGAACAAACACCGGGAGCTTACATAGAACACATCACAAAAGGTACAGCTGACACTGATGAACATCAATACTAACGTCGAGGGAACAAGCGGCGTGGTAAGGACACGATCACAATCACAGGTGACACTGATACAACATTAACAAGGAAACGAGGTAAAACACAAGACAATGCCAACACATAGCCCAAAACAACCGGCCATGTGTTTGCACACAAAACAAGAGACAAATACATGACAGTATTGGATTGATATCTGGTGACTGTGGTGGCCATTAGAGTACAGTGAACTCATTGTCGTGTTCAAGAAACCAGTTTGAGCTTTGTGGCATGCATGTTATCCTGTCGAAAGTAGCCATGAGAAGATGGGTCCACTGTGGTCATAAAGGATGGACATGGTCAGCAACAATGCTCAGGTAGGTTGTGGTGTTTAAGCGATGCTCAATTGCTACTAAGTTACAAAGTGTGCCAAGAAAATACCCCCACACCATTACAAAACCACCAGCAGCCTGAACCGTTGATGCAAGGCAGGATGGATCCATGCTTTCATGTTGTTTACACCAAATTCTGACCAAACCATCTAAATGTCCCAGCAGAAATCGAGACTCATCAGACCAGGCAAAGTTTTTCCAACTTCTATTGACCAATTTTTGTGAGCCCATAAAAATTGTAGCCTCAGTTTCCTGTTCTTGGCTGACAGGAGTGGCTTAGGTGTGTCTTCTGCTGCTGTAGCACATCTGCTTCATAGTTCAACGTGTTTCGAAATATTCGTTTGCACACCTCTGTTGTAACGAGTGGTTATTTGAGTTACTGTTGCCTTTCTATCTGCTCAAACCAGTCTGGCCATTCTCCTCTGACCTCAGGCATCAACAAGCTATTTTCGCCCACAGAACTGCAGCTTTACTGGATATTTTCTCTTTTTCGGCCCATTCTCTTTAAATTATTTTTTTTGCTTAGGCTTGACGCTTTTGCTGTTGGTAAGAAGGTGTCTTGTGGTTTAAAAGCCATACTATACATAACTTGAAGGCCCCCTGTGATGAAAATCAAGCTTTTAATGTTGATTATATGTCTATGTGGTGTTTTTAATATGCTTTTTAGACAAACCATGTAAAACACTTTAAATCACCTTTCTTCCCCATACTGATGCTCAGTTTGCATGCCTAAATGCACTGAGTTGCTGCCATGTGATTGGCTGATTAGATATTTGCGTTAACAAACAGTTGAACAGGTCTACCTAATAAAAGTGGCCACTGTGTGTGTGTGTGTATATATATATATATATATATATATATATTGAGCCACCGTGCCGAAATGTTCAATAATTTAATGTACAACATAATTCACAAATTCAATTATTCGAAGAGGATCAGAAGGCTGAGTCCTGACTAGACGAGAGGAGCTGGGGATGGAGGAGGGTAATTATCTCCTGAGCAACGCTATAAAGCTGCTGCTAATACTGAATGGGTCTTACATATATAGGGATGCTGTGATAGCCGTCATATTGCACAATTGATGCACAATCGAGGTAGTCAATGCAACATTTCTTGGAAAATAAAATGGGAATGAAAATACTTTCAGTGAAGCAGATTGCCAATGAATCGTTGGATCATGTCACTTGTCAATACAAGATTAGTTGTCTTTACAAAATGAAAGGCATTTTGTGAGCATGATTTGTCAGCTTGACACCTTGTAGTAAAGAACCACCTACCCCAGGGGCAGCAGTGTCCTCAAAGTTAGGAGTGATCCTGCACTCTTTTTAGCTCACAACACCAGTCTGACGACATAACCCATTTAGTCACAACTTGCTTTTATGTTTTACTGTTTATAATGAGATTATTGCAACTTGGTCATCTTGTTCTTTTTTCTTAGTTTCTCACAAATGTCAGTTGAACAATGAGAGCCTATGAATCAGAGTTAAATTAAATACTTCACACATGCGTCAGCTTAAATGAGTCACTGCCTTTGTATTCAGAAAAATTAGATATGGTTGAATAGCGTTTCTTTCTCTCTCTTTTTCAAATAGGAAGTATGCTGGCAAACATGCGTTTATCAGGCCCCCCAGGCACATAGTGTTAGATTCATTATATTTAATCATTTCATTTAGTTATTAAATTGTGTAGTTTAACAGATGTATTACAAGATCATTAAGGACAAGTTTTTAAACTCGTTTGTTTTTCTATTAGCTATTGAAGATATCAAATAAAAGAAACAATATGTGAAATCAATGCATCATGGAAGTGAGGTTAAGTTTTGTAACAGTGACTCTTGCTTTTCCCTATGGAATGGGTGTACGTGAGTCAAGACATGGTGGATGTAAATCCTTATCTAAAGCGGTTTCCATATGTACATTTTTTAATAAAGACAAATGCGTCTTGAGCCTGATCTGTGAGACCTAAATATATTTAATTTCTGAAGAGAGGTTGTTTTTAAGAGGAATACGTTTATATAAATAATGTATATAGAAATACAGTACATTTGTTAACTTATAATATTTAAAATATCTTTGAACAAAAGAAGTCTGTATTCGTCTGCCAATAAGTTGTAAACCACAGCTCTTTTAATGGCAGATGCAATGTACGCACTTGTCCTCTAGTAACAGTATTTCGATGTAAGCCATGGTAATGAGACACACAATCCAGTGCTTGATTATTTTCTCTTATCTCTTTAAAACATAGTGATTGTACAGGATTATGGATAAATGTTTGCTTTTCTTTTTTTTTTAAAGTCCCCCTGTAGTCAATAATTTTATCCCTTAAAACTTGAAAAAAAAAAAACTTTTTCCTTGAAAAAAAAAAGTTCATGCCTTAAAATAGCTTGAATGTAACTCTACACCCTTGCCTCATTTAGTAAATGCAGTTCTATGAATATGCAAATTAGCCCCGCCTCCACTCACTCGCACCAGCGCAGAGATCCACTCGTTGACGATCACGCATTGACAATGTAGTTTGTGACTTCAGAAACACCAGTGATTTCAAACTACGTTTTTGAGACTCTTTGGTTCACTGCAGTTTTAAGGAGAAAATACTCAGCAATGGTGTTGACATGCATTTGTACATGGTTTGTCTTAAAGCACATTAAAACACCACATAGACATATAATCAACATTAAAAGCTTGATTTTCATCACAGGGGGACTTTAAGTGGTTATGTACAGTATCCCTTTAAAATAACAAGATACCTTCTTACCAACAGCAGGTATCAAGCCTGAGCAAAAACAATATTTGTAATAATTATTTATTATTATTAAATGTATTTATTTGTAAATTATGTGTTTGTTAATTTACTATTATTATATGCCAGTGAAATCAAAATGGGAGTTTTATAACACTAAACTGGCTGATGCAGTAAGCTTTCTATCACACAAAAAAAAAA